ATAGGAAAAGCATACAAGACCGGCATCATTCCGAAAGATTTCGAGAAATGCATTATAATTCCCATTCCTAAGAAAAAGAAATCAGAGAGATGTGAAAAATACAGAACAATTAGCCTCATAACACATGCTTCTAAGATTCTCACAAAAATAATGCACAAAAGAATAGAGTCGAAGATAAATTAAAATTTAGCTGAAGACCAATTTGGTTTCAGAAAAAATAGAGGCACTAGAGAGGCGATAATATGCTCAAGAATAATCATAGAAAAAATGTTTAGAATCAAAAAACCCCTGTTTATTGCCTTCTTAGATTTGGAGAAGGCCTTCGATAATGTTTAATGGACAAAACTATTTAAGATTATGGAAGACATTGGAATAGACTATAACGATAGAAAAATTATACATAATCTGTACATCAATAAAATCGCAGTTATAAAAGCTGAAAAAGGTAACAACCAGGTGGAGGCTAAAATTGCCAAGGAGGTAAGACAAGGGTGCAATCTATCACCTACCTTATTTAATCTATACATAGAAGAAGCCTTAAAAGAAGTAAGAAAATAAAATATTGGAGGAGTAAAGATAGGAGGAATACTTGTGTAAATGTTGCGTTTTGCGGACGATATAGCTGTAATCGGAGAAAATGAAGAAGACATAACCAACATGCTCGAAAAAATTAACGACACGCTTAAAGAACACTACATGAAAATAAACCAACGGAAAACCAAGATGAAACTAAAATAACTTTTGGACTGATCGGAGCGGTTTTTCAATGTAAATTGTAGAATAATAATTTTCCTAAAAGCAGTTTAAATGAAAAACCAAATGAAAAAAACGCAAAAATTTAAGTATATTCGGGCCGGATTTGAACCAGCGACCTATGGATATCTGTGTTTTATAACCAGATTTTATATTCTACAGTCTACCGCTCTACTAACTGAGCTACCGAAGGCCATGTGTATGGAAACAATTTCAGACTATTTAAGTGCACGCATTGTTACGATACAATAATATCGACATCCAACGGTTAGTCACACGCCATCTAGCGACAACTTTGTTTTAACGCTACAGTTTTTTCTATTCGAAAAAAGATGGCATCCCGTATACCGTTTTATAATAGTATATTATCGGCGAAAGAAACCAACTGATATTTAATTTTTGAGAAAAAAATGTAATAACCAAAACTCAGCTTATGGCTACAACTGGGTGTGCACTTGAAGAATAACAACTTTTCAGAAAAAATGTTAAAACGCTATTCATTAAGAACGTAGACCGGTATCTTGATTTCATTTTTTTTTTTTTCAATAATATTCTCCACTAATTATTTTAAAACCAAAGGAGATTAGTTTGAAATCTTAATCAAAATTTAATAATCATATTTCATTTATATACAAAAACTATATAACTGAAGAATTCCTCGATACTTCATTCAAAATATCCAATGTTTTTGTTTTCCGAATTAGTGATCATGTTGTTTTATTAAATAATATGTATGCTAAACTTCACAATGAGGAAACCGATTTCAATGCAAGAGGAAGTTGATGGAACCTATGGTTCATTGACGGCTTGGGGCTCATGATAAATCAGATAAATCTATTATGAAAGTTTACTTATTTTTCTCTCCCCAAATGTATTCCAATAAGAAAGGCCGTCCAAAAATGAGGAAAATGCCGAATACCGCTATACATTAGATGTCGGCACAGACTATCCTAGCAATCTTCATAAAACTCATAAAGAATTTCCTTTTTCTTCTCATAATGCATGTACACCAAATTCTAAAATCTTCAACATTTTCAAGTATTTCCGTTTAGCCAAACAATTTTGTTACCAATGTACATACCAAGTAAACATTAGTATTAAAACTCATAAAATTAAAATGTTTATAAATAACTCAGAAATTGTGTAAATGTTTTTGAAAATGTCACCACATCTAGAAATAGCAAATATTAAATTTCGGAGTTTTAAAAAAATATTTGAATATAATAATATATTTATTTTCTTAAAATTGTTCTTTCTTTTTACGTGTTTAATTCAGTTTCGTCATTTATTAAAAAAACTACAAGGAAATTCAAAAATAACTTTCATAATTTTCAGCAAAATTAAACATTAAACAAAAAATGTCTCTCACTGTTTTTCTATTGGTCTAATATTTTTGGTAGGAAACATTGAGGGTAAAAATTTTAAATAATGAAATCTAACGCCGTAAATTTGTAAATTTTTCATTTTTGTGTTATTCTGGTTTTCTCAATTATTATGAAAACCTCATGGAAATTAAAAATGATCTCTTTTCAATTAAAAGAACAACTGCAAAATATTACCATTTAATTAAACAAAAATGTTTCTTATTGTTTTTCTATTGATATTATATTTCTGAAGTTGCTCACTGAAATAAAAAAATATACAAAAACACATAGGATATATTACAAATGTATACATTTTATATACATCGCTACGTTCCAAATCTTAAAGTCTTAATAATGTACAATGCTCCTATAAATATCCTCAGTTAAAATGCACATAAACCTAAAATAGGCCATAAAAATCCGAAAACGCAAAAAGATGCAAAAATATCTTCTTCTTCTCTTTCGCCTTAATTACTTGCTCATATAAGGGATCAACTACACTCGTGCTAAACTTCTCCTTGATCCGCTCTCCTTGAACCTAAAAGATCTCTACAAATATGTGAAAAAAAAAATAGGGAATTAAATTTTGTATATGAATTCGTTTGGTCGTAAAAACGTATTTTTCTTACAAACTACATAAGCAATTTGTTTACCAATCAATAAAAACATTAAAATGATTATAAACATTTGCTATTTATTATTGTTATATTCGATTAGTCGAAAATAATAAAATAAAAAAAATAATAATAAAATTGTTACTGTAAACTTTCCCAGTTTTTCGAATTATTAAAATAATGACTTATTGTCAAATTACCAACATGTTTTGAAAATTGTACCCTATGTCACGGAACAGTTATAATCTATATGTATTATTATGCGTAGAAACGCCCTGCCTCTGTGGTTATTTTTTATTCTTAACTGACTTGCAACCGCAAAGCAAAATTGTATGTAACATAGACCTTCGTTGTGCATATATTATTAAATATTATTACAGTTTTGAGACGATTAGGCGATACAGACTATCTACTAGAAACCATAGTAAACAAAAAATAAACACTTCTCATAGTAAATCTATCATAGTGGAATCTAAAATAAAATGTGTAAGCAAAAATTTCCCTGCAGTAACACCGGTGCATACTAAATTTAGTAGAGTTTTGTTTTGTGAATTATTAATGCCGAAATTAAATTTTTGAGAAATGGAACGAGGAAGGAGCGAAATGATCACGCACTACTTTTAGTTTGATAATTACACGTGACGGTAATTTTTTATATTTTTTCGGAAGTCTGAAAACCCCTCTGTTTTATTTTTCTGATTCGAGCACTGCGTAATGCATACCTTTAATATATGTACTTATACATAAGACGAAAAATCGTATATATGTTTTGTGACACCGTGTTACCGTATACTACGGGTATAATATTATTATTATTGTTGGTCTGCCTGGTTTCCGACGCGGTAACGATTAACAAAACGAAATTTCGTAATCCTATGATATACATATTTTTTATATGATAGTAAGATTATAAACGCCTCCGGAGAAAACGAATGAAAACATTACGTTTGACAACCCGGTATCCTTGACCGTGACCGCTCCTAAACAGGTACAGATACCTATATTATACAACAACAACAATAATATTATTATTATAAACCTTGATGTGAAAGCTGANTTGTTGTTGTTTTTGTTTTGTCCCCCTACGTATAATATACTCGTGTAGAAAAAGAAAAAAAACGTTTTGAATTCTCGTAACTCTATTAAAATATAATAATATATTATACTGCAGTATCCATTTCATACAGGTTTTATTTTCTTGCTGCCTCGGGATCTAAGAGTAAACATCGACGACTTTCACGATAATACGTTATACATTGGCCGCCGGTGACGTACAGCAATGCCTACATAAATGATAACATTGTCTTTTGAGTTTTCGTGTGTAAAACTATTACCGCGTTAATTATAGCGGTTCGAGTATCGAGTGTTGACGGACTGCATAATATATTATTATTATAACGATTTTATTATTGTGCCGAGCGTGTTTCATCTGAGCGGTTTTACACGAACGTTTCGACCGGTCCACGGAATTATATTAATTAAAGTCTTCAAGAAAAAAAAAAGAAAACAATTATAATAAATAACCATGGTTATAGCCCCGAAAATTGGTAGAATTTACTTTTTACTATCGAACAAAACTACGATGATTTCCCACAGCACTTTACTCTGACACTAACTGAACACGTCAAGAAAAACGAACGCACGTTACGAGTCCCGAACCCCGCTTAATATAAGGGACATTTATTTCTAAACCGGTCGGAGGTATAATAAGGAACGGAATTAGTCTACCGGGTTTGTAATTATCCTTATCTCGGATTTTCGAATTGTTGAAAATACACCTTTTGTGTCGCACAGTGTGGATAGAATTACAATATATGTATGGGACTGGGTTATTAACAAAAATCCTTTGCGCCTATTTTCTTGGAAATCGATAATCATTCCGACTCTATTATAAAACAATGAATGCATAAAACCTCAATTTAAAGCCCTGAAATCTGAAATCTCAATGTAGATCACAATCCGGATTGCCAATCTTTAGCATAACTGGATTTTTTCGACTATTACAGTATAAAATAATATATATTTTCAGTTTATTTCCAAAGCTGGTAACTCTTTCGCACTGCGGAACGCAATGAAATGTATGTTCCCCTAACCGGAAACCCCCATTAGTCCACTATTTTTTTACGAATCAATGTGAATTAATTATTTTTTTCCCTATCTTGAAAATTGCCCTACATACAGTCATCCCGATTTTTTGAAAAAATATTCATTTAGTCTAGAAATCGTAGGTTGTGATAAAATATAGGGCAAATCCGCTTACTGTTTAAAATTATATTAAGAGCAAGAAATGTATTGGTATTACAATAATATTTGTTATTTTTACACCTTAACTTACTAAACCTAAAAAAAAAAACGGAAAACGTAAAAACGAAGAAAAAAGAGGACAATTTACGAAATGTTTGTATTAGTTGAAAAATATTACAGCCTTTTTCTTTCCCATGAACAACTTTTCCGCCGGGAATTTTGCTCGGATTTACAACGATAGCAATTTTTCTAACCGAAAATCTGATTAGGAAGGTACATTTTTGATTTGCCCAAGAGTTTTCCCAATAAATGGGAAAACCGTAAATAAAATTGGAAAAACAGGAAAATAAGTACAATATTAAACAAATAATATTCAAGAAAATATATAATGTAAATGTAATTACTTAACCACAATACATTGTCATAAATTGTTGAAAAAGTAATACTACAACCAAACTCAGCTTAGAATGGTAATTTAATTAGCAATAATTAATCGTTGCGTACAGGTATGCATTAAATTTCCCCTATAATACATTCCAATCTTCTCACTTAAAACAGTGGCCCACGCACGTGCGATGTTCGTCTTTTTGAAATAGTAGGTATAGGTATTATATTGCATAATATATGTAAAAAAAAATGAAAAACGATTCACAGAAAATGTATTGTAATTTTCATATTATATCAATTCCAACACCCGAACAAAATGTTAGCGTTCTAACATTTTCCCCAGTATACGATACTATAAAACTGGCATCATCTCCGTATACAACGTTAGGAAAGCGTAAATAAACCGAAGTGCTTCCTGTGGGCAGCGGTGAAGAGTACCCCCTCGTGAATTTCGACCCTTCTCGTACCCGAACGAATGTCTATCAGGGTATTATATTGTGCAACGGATCGTTTCTCTACCGTTCGAAGAAAATGACCATTTAAATAAATAATTGAATGTACTATAGGTACCATATTTTCGAACTTTTCTGTTATAAATAAATAATTGGGCTGGGGACGGGCGTTAATTAATTGTTACACCATGGTACATAATGCCTATAAATACGCCACTGTCCATACACTATGAGTTACACTGAGTTACATATTAAAATAAGTTTTACCATTTTTTTTTGTAGAATGATTATGTTCGTGGATCTCTATTGAATTTCCAATTTGAAGCGATGTTTTCAAAATAGCTGGTCCCTTGAAAGTACTATATTTTTAACACCTTCGTCTAATAAAAATCTCACAATCTTTTTGCTGAATGAAGGTTGAAACATATTTTATTTTTTCTTCGTATAGACTTCCATAGTTGTACAGACGCACATTCGAAATTACTCAACAGGAACTGAAGAAGTACTAACCGTAATACCCATGTTATAACTAATAACGTGTATTGGTACCAAATGTGTCTAATTAATTTTTATCTTAAGTATTTTCCCAATTCCAAAATTTTATTTGTATTTTTTTTATTTTATTTCCTTAAAACATTAAGATTGATATATTTTAATTACGTATAACATACCTTACTTACCTGAAATCCATAAACAATATTAACGATTTAGCATCCAGTGCTGTCCCAGTAGATAGGTTGTGTCTCATCCGTATAGAACGTAAATATGATCAAGGAGATTTTATAATTTACATCGTATTAATTACATTGATAATGTAATTCGGATTAGCTATAATCATAGTAATAAAGTGTAAAAAGATAATAATAAAAGAGTAATAATAATAAAAAGAGTTATAAGCCGGAAATATCGGATTATCAGAAGTCCGAAGAAACATTTAATGATGTTTTGATGTATATTTTTTTTTTTATTATTATGGCTTCTTATAATATATGCAACGTTGTAATTTATATTCGAAAATTTATAATTATCTTTTTCTTTGTATTCAAATTATTTTTAATTTTCTATTCTAGATGAAACACGGTGATCATAGGACCCCGTGTCTCATTTAGTGTGGGGGTGTTACGAACCCCTGGTATTTTAGTTAGGTTTAAGGACCAATGGTTAGTATTAAGAATATAGTGTAAATGGTAGTTTATATATTGTACAGGCAAAAGGGAATGCACTGAGTTAACCCTTTTGCCTATCCGGTGGTTCGTACGATATCGAGAGAACGATGTACGACGGCAGTTGGGATATAGCAGAGCATTCCGCTTAACCTTCGTAAATCTATTTTTCTATTTGTAATAACAGTTGATTTCTTAAAATTAAAATATATTAGTAGTATTATTTAATAATTCGTGAGTGTTCACTTAATTTATTTATTTGTTGTCGACTGTCAAATCAGTCCATAACAACTCATTATAATATTACTATGTAATCCTTAGGAATTATTGAAGGTTGATGTTGTAGTAAATTTGAAATGAAGGAGGCGAAAACCCGTGTATTAAGATTAAACCAGAACTGTACAACCAATACGGATGGTCTTAAACAATTTATCAGCCATAAGGTTTATTCAAATTTATTTAAACTTCAGCAATTATGCTCACAGTACCAATAAGTTTTGCATCCTGTAAAAGGTCGTTTTCTGTCATGCGTAGAATAAAAAAATGGCTGCAGACTTCTATAGAGCAAAGTCGGTTCACAAATATATCGATGTATAATGAACAAAGTATATCTAATAAAATATATAATAAGGAAATATTAAATGGATTTCATAAAACTAATCATAGACTACAATTGTGAGTAAATACGGTATACTTAGTTCTATAAAATATAGTTACATAAAATGTAAACTCGTCAATTATATAATTATATCATGTATAACTTTAAAACAATGAATAATTGAATGATGAATACTGCATAGTCGTATATAATTGATCAAAAATACATTTCATTATTTTATTTTCATTAATTTTCCCAACTCCCCCCAATTTAAAAATTGTGATTGCGCCTATGCTGAAATAGCATACATTTTTTATCTATGGGAGTAAATAATGTTATATATTGGACATTACCATATTTATTTACCTGGTATAAGATATTGGAAATACAATTCAAACGCTTAATTATTGAAAATATTGTAGAAATTTATTTTTTAGAAAAACATTAATGTGTTGATAGTAAAAAAAAAAAATAGTAATACTAAAATATAAAATTATACCTGTGTTAATGTATAAGTGAAATGATATAAAAATTACAAGAAAAAAATGATGATTAATTATTGATTAATGATAATAATAATAATAAATATAAACTTAATATTATCATAATAAGAAAATGAAACCAAATTATAATAATTATTATTACGGAAACAAAAAATGTTTATACAAGTTCATGTTATTACAAGTATATAATATTGTTACACAATTCAAAAGAGTGTTTCTTAAATATACGAAATATTATTCCTTAAATTATTATGAAAATAAAAAAAATTAATGTTAATATCTACAAGTTGAAACTTAATGTTTACACTTATTAAGTGATGATTATAATTTTTTTTTTTTTAAAACTAAATATTTTCAAAACAATAAAATTTAAACTCTATAATTAAAGTAAAATGAACTAAAATTATAGTATAATAATAATTTGTATAATGATCATACAATGAACCGAACGGGAAGCCAGATTTACTTCTTATGTTGTGTATGTTAGGAAAATACTAATGGTAGTATATTAATATTAGATGGGCCTTAGTACAACTACTATGATAATTATTAAAAAAAAAAAAAAAGTAAATCGTTAATATTATATTAATTAATATTTTAAGACTAATTAAAAGTAAAATTAAAAAAAAAAAAAAACTTATCGTCAGGGAATGACGATGAATCTATTCCCTGATTTCCTATGGTATTCTATGTTGCAAACTCGAGCTTTATCAGCTCTCTTGGAGTAAAATTAATAATAATATTAATAACTAAAAAAAAAATTAGGACAACAACTTAACTACAATGAAACTGAGAAATAGATCTAGTGGAAATATGTTTGTAATATAGGTAGAATAATAGTATATAATCATAAGTGCTAGTCTATTGCTGAAGTTGAAAAAAAAATAAAATGTAAAATAATAAAAAAAGTGGGTCTGAATGAAACTTTTCTTTTGTTATGTATAGATAGGATGATTAATCCAAATTTCGGCCTTATCAGCACTCTTGAAATATACCAGAGTTGTAAGAGGATTTACTAATTAATATATTATAGTTTCTAATAATTATAATAAAGTTGAACATTTTAATGACAAATTATGCTGTAAAGCAACACGGATAAGCCCAACCTCGTGGTTTATAAATTAATGTTTAAATATTCAGAAAATTTAGATAAAAAATTTGCCAACAAATGTACGTATTATATATTAAAACTTTAGAAACTTTTTTATTTAACCAGTTATAATCATAACTTAATTTATGTATAGAAAAATAAAACTTATAACCTAGGAATAATGATAAATCTTTTCCTTGATTATCTATACTTTGACTATTGCCTTGTTTAAACTTTAACAAAATTATAACTATAAATATAAAATAATCTATAAAACTTATTGCCTAGAATGATGATAAATCTTTTCCCTGGCTTTCTATAGTATACAATATGAAGCCTAAAACCAATTCTGGCTTTATCAGCACTCTTAAAACTAAAATTAATAATAATTATATGTCTATGATATCCCCAAATTAATTTTTTTTATACCACTTAAAATTAATTATCTATAATTTTTTTATGTCTACAAATATATTATTAATACAAAATATATATCGCTACACTAAAATACAATACCAATTTAATATTTTGTAATATAATACTAATTAAATTATGTTATTAATTTCTTTATAAGCCTTATCTTAATTTAACCAGAGAAAGATATAGAATCAATTCTCCGGTTATCTATTTAGGTTCTTTAACATATTGTCAATAGAACAATGTATGTTAAATAAACTTGTAAGTTATGATAATAATAGAAAAAACATAAAATATTAAATGATTAAATGGATATGAATTATTATGATGTTCCTAGACTAATTATTAATAATTACATATATGTATATTAAAAGAAAACCAACCCTATAACTTTAGTTATGATGGTTTAGATGACCCTTACTTTAGTTTAACTCTAGCTTAATTACCACGATAATAATTGAAAAAAAAAAGTTAAAATAATATTTACATAGGTATTCATTAAAATTTCAAGACTTATCAATAACTAATAGCTAAATTTAAAAAAAAAAACTTATCGCCAGGGAATGACGATGAATCTGTTCCCTGGTTGCCTATGGTGATCAATTGTTTTGCAAGCTTGGGCTTTATCAGCACTCTTGGACTAAATTAATAATAATATTAATAATAAAAAAAAAAAAAAAAAAACAAAAAAAATTAGAACTATCAAGACAAATATCTAACTACGAGGAAATCGAGAAATAGACATAGTGGAAATATTTGTGTAACACAGGAAGAATAATAATAAGTGCTAGCCTATTGCTGAAGTTGAAAAGACAAAAATAAAACCGGGTATTTAATTGAAAATAATTACCTTTTCATTTCGAGAAACATTGGTCTACGATTTATGGAAACATATTCTCTAAAATCATGATTTAGAAGTAAATTTAACATTATAAAGTTTTATAGTGAAGTCAAAATGTGAACAATACCAAAAGAAGAATAAGGAGTATTTGAAATGCGATTCGGATAATATGGAAGAATGTTATGGATTAGTTGAAAGAATAATATGATATAACTCATAAACGGAAGACGAAATGGTAAAAAAAAAATAAGAGAGACGAAAGAAAAGGAAAACAAGATTATGCCATTGTATCTGTACAGAATATCAAATTGTCTTTTTATTATTATTATTTTTTTTTTTTTTGTGATAATTGAAATTATAATTTTTATCATTTCAAAGAAAGGTAAAATAAGAAATTTCAAAAGAAAAAATATATTGTGTAAAGAATCTTCTCTTGTATGGATAGCAAAAAAAAAGAACTTCATGTAAATTCGATTACTTAATAAATTATTCTAATTATAGAAAAAAAAACTTTAAAAATACCTTATAAACGTATAATATTTATAAACACGTTCTAAGACCAATTATAGTTATTAAAAAAAAAAAACTTATAACCAGGGAATAATCACGAAACTTTTCCCTGATTGTCTATACATTGTCTATTGCCTTAGCCAAACTTAAACAAAACTATACTTATTAATATAAAATAATCTATAAAACTTATAACTAAGGAATAATGATAAATCGTTTCCCTGGTTGTCTATAGTGTACAATGTAAATCCTAAAACCAATTTGGGCTTTATCAGCACTCTTAAAATTCAAATTAATAAAAAATAATAATAATTATATGTCTACGATATTCTTAGATTAATTTTTTTATACTATGTAATATTAATAACCTATTTGTTTTTTTTATGTCTACAAATAAATATTAATTACATTATATAAATAATGTACTAAATATACTAAATATATATTGTTGCACTACAATAAAATAAAAACTCAATACTAATTAAATTATATTATCAATTTCTTTATAAGATTAACTTAACCTAACTAGAGAATGATAAAGAATCAATTCTTTGATTATACATTTAGATTTCTTGACACGTTTTCAATTGAACAATATTTATTATATTAACTTAATAATTTATAATAATAGAAAAAACATAAAATAATAAACTTATATGAATTATTTTTACGGTCCTAGACTTATTAATAACTATATACATAAAAAAAAAAACTTATAACCAGGGAATGATGATAAATCTTTTCCCTGGTTGTCTATTATTTGTCTGGTACTTAAATCAATCTTTAATAAAACTATGCCTATTGATATAAATATTATTAATATTAATAATATTTATTTATATTATATAATACACAAATTATAACCAAGAAATGATTTTGAATCTTTTCCCTGGTTGTTTATAGCGTGGAATATGAAGCATAATAATAATTTGGGCCTTATAAACACTTTTGGAACTAAAATTAATAATAAAAATATAAAATAATTATAGTATATTAGTTAATATTGCATTCCTAGACTAATCAATAGCTATATATATATATGTATGTATTAAAAAAAAAAAATGAATTCAAAACAAAAACTAAATACAACTTATAAATAGTTTAAAAAAAAAAAAAAAAATGAAAATTTTTAAGTATACGATTGATAACATTCGTATGCACTGGCAATGTTGTTAAATTACATCCCTTGTATTCTAATTACATATCTTAACATTACAATTTAAACTTATTATTCTATATTATTGTATTAATTAAATTATTTTAATACTCAACTTAGTGTACAATAATATTTAAGGTAGCTTTAGGCGCAAAACGGTATACTTATTATATGCCGTAACATGTTTTTTTTAAAATTGTTAAAATTAAAAATGTTTTTTTTTTTTTTTTTAAGAATTCATGTGTATGAACGCCGGTACGGCCACCAAGACGGCAAAGGATATGAAAAACACCATGAAGGGTGGAGGTTGGCTTGGTTTTTCAGCCACATTACCTGCGTTACCTAAAAAAAAATAAAACCATTAGGTACCGGATCGAAAAAATATTTCATTAAAATGAAATTGGTTAATATTTAGGATCAATATTATTATTATTCTGTCATGATGGTCTTCTACGGCATGGCGTAATGGCGAGAAAAACAACAAATCTTTGGTCCCGAGTCAGTTACGTATAATTTTCAACACAAATAAATTAAAGGTTTGAAAATGACATAATGGCATTGCTACTAAATGGCAAATTTGCTATATGGTCTGCTGTAAATAATAACGTTTTACAAATGGCTCAAGTCAAGTAAAAAGACTTATCTTATTATACTTTTTTGCCAAACAAATACCCGTAGAGTAGTGGTTTAAGATATTTTGGTGATAACATATGTTAGAAATGTTAGAACATATTTATAAACCAAAAAAATAAAGAGAACAATCGAAAGACAAAACTATAAAACAATAAATTAAACGGCAAAAATTGGCTGGGACGAAATATATAATATATTAGTAACAATAATCAGTTTTCAAACGAATGAATCATATGACGTTATTATAGTTTTGATATTTCATATATTCCACCCAATAACCATTGCCTTACATTACATTAACAAAATCGTTGTCGCGTGTTTTAGTATTGTACGAAATTTTAGAAACCAGTTGTATTATACAATAATAGATTTCTCCCTTTTTTCCATCTTTCTCATGTTTATGTTTTTCAAGTGCTTATATATACATCAAATTTCACAGAAAAAGTTTAAATTTTTTAATTAATTTTATATTTGTATTTGTTTTATTCAAAAGCTGACTGAATCGGTTATAATGACGAATAACATTTAATTTAATAATAACATAAGTACGCTATTAAATAACATCATCCGGATACGGACATTTTTCCATTAGTTTTCGGTGCTTTCCGAGCCACGTGTTGGGTAATGATGCAATAGTGTAAGCGTTGAAATTTGAATAAACTATAATTTGATTTCTACACAATATATGAGATGGTACCTTATATATATAGAGAGAGAGTGCATTTAGCGGGCATATCAATTTGTATATTTTGGTGCAATATTTTTCTATTTTATCCAGTAGTGTATTTATGGATAGGGGGGGGGAAGTATGAATGGGTTTATTCTCACCCACATCGGCCGTGGTTGACGAATTATCACAAGGGCTGTAAGGCTGTAAGGTGATAACAGTATTCAGTTATTTAATGTTTGATAATAAATTAATAATTTTATGTAGTTTTAAACTCGAAACGTACCGAGATATTGGTTTTACTATAATGTGTGGTTTTTATATTTTATCTCTGAACAACTATTCTACCAGAAATCTTGCTCCGATGTAAAGAGTGTAGTACTGTAGCGTGTAGTCCCCCCCCCCCATCGTCCAACGGTTTTGGACAGGTGGAAATATTTGGCAAATAGTTTTCAATAATTTACAAATTCACTCACTTTCAGAATTTGGAAATCATTCGTTTCCACGTGACAATTATTTTAGTATTAGTGACCAACTTCGCGCAACCTATATCCAATTGACTTAATCTTGTTAATGACCAGAAACGTTTGTTTTTTAGACTTCCCTTGTATTTTTTTTTTTTTAATAATGAACAATAACGTAGAACGAACGAGAAAATTTACAAAAATTATGCTTTTATTATTTGTTTATTATAGTTCAGTTAAAAATATTCGGAGATTCTTGAAAGTTGGAAAGAAATTATNCTAAATGACAGCAAATTGAGTTTCGCTAATTTCATTTTTTTTTTTTTTTTTTTTTTTTTTTTTTTGTATTTTTATGATTTTTAAATCTTTCATCTTCAAAATTTTATAAAACACAGAAGTAATTTAATTATACTTCAGCAAAGGTGCAAAAATGTATCCAATAATTGTATTTTTGAGACAATTAATATTAAGTAATATTGAAACCGGGTTTGCTTCAGTCGAGTGAAAAATTGTCTTTTTGTTTTTCATTTTATAACATATTATGCCAATATCAAATATGATCAACATAAACTAGATTATATTTTACATACTTAAATATAATGCATGATATGTCATAATGTCATATAAAAAATACAATATTTATATTAACAAATGTAAATTATATATTATTCAAATTTTAAATAAAATATGTATAAATAGCCATGCCGAATCTAACCAATGTCCAGATACTATATCACCACTACTTAGACTTTTTCTTTGAAAATGAGATCATTTTTTTAAAACAAGGAAATTCTATAAATTTATTCATTTTTTTTTTTTAAATATGTTAAGAGTGTTTAGTTGCAAAAATTATACGAAAACATTTACGCTCAACCTCTAGTAGTTGCAATATAACTACTAAAGGAACACATTTTAAAAATGTCAACAAAATAATGAAACAGCATTCTATTTATTTGGATTGGAATTTAGCTTTGACAAATGCGTGCAGAATAAATACTTTTGCACCTGCTGCGTAACACCAAGGAGTGCAAGTTCCCGATGTAATCACGCCACTCAATATAACTGTTTTATAAAATATATTTATAAACAAAATCTAAAATATTACAACTACATTTTTTATAAATAAATATATCGTTTTAAATAGTTAAATTAATTCGACAGTAATTTTTGTTTTCTTTCTACCATCTAACGATACGTAAGTGGAGTTATCCCCTAACTCTAAAATTAAAAAGTTACGTGGTTGCGTGTGATTTGCAAATTCTGAAAGTGAATTTTGCAAAGTACTTGCAAAATATCGGCAATGGTCCGAAATCGATTGGACGATGTGGGGGCTACGTGAAGTTGCCCTTCCGCAATTTTGAAATAATTCCAAAAGCACAAGTTAAAGTTTGCAAATTACAGGCCTGATATCGATCGAACACAGTTGGAGAACCAACTTCACGGATATGAGTGTAGGAACTTTTCTGGAAGAAATTTAATTCTAGTTTGTGCATTAAGCAGGTCATTTTTTGATTTTCAGAGGGAATTTCTAAATAGTTATAAGAAAATTATGGGTAAAACGGCAAATATTTATATCACACAATGAGGATACCATTTTTAATGTTTTTAATTTTTGCAAACCATTTTTTAGTAAAACTTTTTCTCTAAAAAAAAAAATAACAGGAATTCTTTTTTTATTGAATTTTGGATCTAGATAATTGTAGTCAATTATAATCTAGATATTCACGTAGAAAGTCGTTTTTTGATTTTCAAAGTAGTTTTCTTAATAGGAAAACAGAAGAACGAACAAATTTACGGATTACGATTAAAATATTTTCAATTATTACGATTTATTTATGCTATGGGAAATATTATTCTTTTAGAAAAATTACAAGAGACCTTTTTGGGTGAATTTTTAATCTTGTTAATGACCAGAAACGTTTGTTTTTTAGACTTCCTTGTATTTTTTTTTTTAATAATGAACAATTACGTAGAACGAACGAGAAAATTTACAAAAATTATGCTTTTATTATTTGTTTATTATAGTTCAGTTAAAAATATTCGGAGATTCTTGAAAGCTGGAAAGAAATTATNTTTTTAGACCAAATAGAAATGCTTGAAAATTTGACATGATGTTCATTTTATGTCATACTGAGTATTTAAAAACAAAAAAAAAATTGTAATGTACTTATTTTATACGAGTTTTAGAACCTAATTTTAACGAATATCTTAAATATTATGGCCTTTTAAAAGATGTGTAACCAAACTTCACTCTGAAGCGTTTTCGATTAGCAATAGTTTATCGTTACTTAAAAAAAAAAACAAAAACTTTATGTATCCTACCTTTCCGACTTCCCACCTACAACAATGGCACACCCGTCCCAGGTATCAGGCTATGTTTTTTTTTTATCTACTTTATTTTCCTCTATTATCATGATATCGTAGCGTTTAGATTTTATAGGATGAATGATATTTCAAGATAAGAAAATTCTTAATTTTTGTGTTAGTTTGCGTTGTGTGATCTATGATAAACTATTATGATAATAAATTACGAATATCAAAATAATATTTTATTTAATTCTTAATGCGTATGAGTATACATATTGAAGATAATAGTCGATGAGCCCCCCATGACTTTTTCTTAAGGAAATTATGTTTTACCCGAACAGTGATACAATAAATTCCTAAGCACGCCACTAATTTTATCTATATTCAATAATCGAACATTTAATTTATAAGGTCTGCGTGATGAGATGCAAAAATTAATTAATTTGTTGACAATTCTAATAAAACACAAAACAAACGATTTAGTAAAACTATTCGTTTATTTTTGCCGGTGTTTGCGTGTTGTGCGGTTGAGGATAAAAGTATACGATCAAGTGGAACATTCACCGCGTCTAAAAATAAAATCACACCATGCAGTGTGCTAACCATTGTGCGAGTGTTCGATTTATAACTTGTGATCGTTGTGCGGCTGTATGTTGTCCACTGAACAGCAATCATATTCGGGGACAATTTAAAAATCCACCACCTGAACCCTGTCAAACATAAGCTCAACAGACAATCAACGTTTCACAGTGCATGCGTTCTACGGTCAAAATGAATGCACTCCGCATAGTGTCGGTAAAATCCACGCTTACCGTTTCCAACAGAGCCCGTCGGCTTCCAAGACTGTCTGCCGGTAATGATTGGCGTGGCCACGGTCGGACTCTGCACCGGCACGGGGGGCGCGGCATACCATTTTCCTCCCGCGTTATCGGCACCGACAACGGAAGGTGAAGGGATCTGCTGCGGTCTGACCGGATGCCAAGACCCTCCCGCGGGCCCTTGTGCCGGGGCCGACGAGGGTCCCGCATAAGGACCTGTACACGAGTACAAGGTGTCAAGCGTAAATTTTGGACACGGGCCCGAGAGTGAACGAAATTACCACGGGGGAAGGAGGATAGACGAGTTTTTTTTCGGATTTTATTCATATGGGTATGGGTTTTCATATGGAAATAGTTTCTCGTCAAAATTCGAAATGAAAACACTACATTAGCACTGAAAGAGCCATCGAACGATCGCCGATGTGGTCATCGACCACTCAACATTTTTGCCAATAATGACTCGTATTATTTCATTAATTTTACCCTACACTCAAACCCGATCGTCATCGCTGATCTTACAATTGAGTGTTGTCAAATTTCCTTTTTAACACAAACGGCACCCGACATATCCGTCGCTCCTTTTCTTTTCATTCAGCCACTCCTCATTTTACTTGTTAAAATACAAACAATAATATAATAATTATTATATTACCTCTTGTTTTTGTCCCGACAAGTTTCATCCCGGACATGTACGGATCCGCCTGGCGACTGCATCTGGTGCCCGTTCCGGCTTCTGTCAATAATATTGTCGTCGTGGTTTCCGGGTTTTGGCCCGGGTCGTTGGGAATGGTAGTGACAACGAAACATTCGTACACGGCAGTCCCGCCGACTCCAGGATCAACACGCTTGACGTACATGTACGTGTACGTTAGCGTTTTATCGCCAGTTGTTGGACCGGATTGTTGGACCTGTTCGGACCATTCGCCGAGACATTGATACTCTCGGTCTATGGAGAAACGATCCATTAATAACATATTGTATTATGAATAACGGTTAATTATTCGTGACTACATAAAAAAAAAAATCATATAAAAACTGTGATTATGTGATTAATGTGCAAAATTATTATTATAAACAACAATTTTATTATAATACTATAATGTGTCTTTGTTATTATTATTATTTTGGTAATAACCGGAACACTATTATAGTGCGTGGTGGTGCGCGGTGTATAACGAGTTTAAGGCCAGGAGGCATTTTACGGTAATGGTACTGGAGAGGGTAACTGGTGATTGTGATATTTAGTGAGAACTGCTCTGTCGTTCGTTCATTCGTTTTGTCGGTGACGGAGTGGGTCAATATGGTACAGGTATAATAGTACCTTCGTAGTACCGGCTCTCGGACTTAGGCATCAAACGGTAGGTCGGTGGTGGTGGTGGCGGCGGTGACGAAACCGTCGTTTTGGAGGACGGCGTCGGTTGGTAGTAGTGATTGACGGGTTTCTGTTGTCCGTGGAGTTGCTGCGGCGACGGTGCCGGCCCCGGTATCGAGGCCAGCGGTCCGATCGAACCGGTAACGGTGGCCTGGTCCACTTGCAGGGGTGGCAACGGCACGGGCGGCAGCGATAGTATACCGCCTGCAGCTCGGTTGTTCTGTTGCTGCCGTGACTGTTGCTGCTGCCACCAGTGCTGTTGCGCTGCGGTCGTCCAACCACCGCCGTTAACTCCTGCGACACCGGGAACCGTACTGTTCAATAACACTGGTATGTCTCGGACGTTGTCCTTGCTTCCACTCACGTACAGCGGTCGGTCGCCGTGTACGTTCCAACTGCCGGCAGCGCCGTTCGACTGGATGCCCGCAAACGACCCGTTTCGCCAACCATTGGCCGTTCCGAACGACATCGGCGTCGACGGAATAGTGGTAACCGCTGGCAGTTGGCTGCCATTGTTCATGTACGGTTGTTGATAGTGATAGTTTTGTTGTTGCTGGCGGTAATAATAATCGTCCGTCCTGCGTCCGCTATTGGGGCCCATGGTCTGCGACTGATAACCGTTATGATAGAAGTTCGGTTGTTGCGACGTTTGCCACTGTTGTTGACTCGATGTCCATTGGTACTGCGGCTGTGGCTGTTGTTGCGCTGCCGGCCACTGGTAATGTGGCTGCTGTTGTTGTTGTGTCGGCCACTGCTGTGGCTGCTGCCGTTGCCGATAATAGTAATTATTATAATCCATGCTAGTGCTGCGGGGTGGTGGTGGAGTGTATTGCTGTTGCTGTCGTTCCTGGTGGTAATAATCGTTGTTATTCTGCCACTGTTGCCGTTGTTGCTGCTGCTGCTGTTGGCGGTAGTAATAATCGTTTGCCGCACTAGTAGTAGTGCTCGATAACACCGGACGTGGAGGGAGATTTCCTGGAGGCGTCATCATAGTTTTCTGGTGCTGCTGGTTTGCAGTGACTGCTGGCGTAGCAATGGTCCTAGATGTGGCAACGGTCGTAGTGGTGGTAGCGGTCGGAGCAGTGGCAGCAGTCATGGTTGTGGTGACAGTCCTATCGACGAAAACCGTGTTACTACTTTTATTATCGTCATTACTTCTACTACTGTGTGTATCGCCGATGACAGTTGGAGTACTAGAAATGCCTTTAGCAGTATTAGTGGCTGTTGAAGTGGCAGCCGTCGAAGGTGGATCTGTCGGCTGAAGACGAGCGGTAGTGGCGTCAGAAGGTTGTGACGGCGATGACGGCGAAGAAATAGTGGCGGTTTCAGCAGTAGGGGTTACAGTTAAAATAGTCACGGTAGCCGAACCTTTAGGCAACAAATCTGATGTAGGAGCGGCAACAGCCGGCTTATGGTCAGAAGTGACGTTTGCCGTGTCAAATTGTCCGTCACGTTTGTTTCTTCGTCTGTTACCGCCGTAATCGTCAGCATATCCTCTTGATGGCGCTGTCGCATTACAATATTATCGTAAAAAATAATAATAAAGCACTGATGATCGGAACGTTCTCTTAAATCGTTTACATAAGAATGATATTATACCAAGGCAAATTGACTAAGTTTAGTTAAAATTCATTCATAACCGTCTGTGGCTTAAAAACATTACGTCGGTGATCCCATTCGTCCATTTTCCCGTAATTCTAGGGACCTCATCACACGGATATACTCGAAAGTTGTCTGACAGACAACTTTGACTTTTGTCTCAGACGATGTAAATGAAGAAACATAATGTACAGATATGTGAGATATGTGGATTTACAGACGCTCGTCCACTTATCTTTACCTACATTTTTAACCTTCTCATCCTTTACTCAACATGCTTATAAATACCCATTTCAATTTCCCGATAATAAAAAGGGAGTTACCCGTTTCCTCCAAAATCGTACCTTTCCCTTTCCTGCCAATTCACTTCCGTCAAATAAAAAAAGTAGTTCTAGGAATTGAATAATATTGAAATGTAACTAAGAAACCATTAATTGAATATGAATGTATATATTACGTTCAAATTACAGACACAAAACCCGATTGAAAAAAAAAAAATGAACATTAACAGTTATGAGCATTACAGGGATGGTTAAATTTAATTAAATTAACAAATTTCGCATAAAATATGCGAGTAAATGTCCTAGGTATAATTTATAGTTAATATTTTATAATGTACTTTCTTATAAAGTACTATAGCTATATACTATTAGTTTCATAAAGTTATAAATATCTGAGGACGGAAAAATTATGATAAAATAAGTTTGAACTTATTCAATACTAAAAAAAAGAAGTTATTATATATTTGATATTTTAGATTCAGAGTGGAGCAAAGAATATATTGGTTTTACAAAGATGTTTATTTGCTTAATTAATAATTTAATAACTTAATAGATACAATCGACCATTAATATTTGAATATTTGACTAACCTTTTTAATTTGTCGGAAAAGGGAATCAATCAATTTGCTGATATTACGAAAAATAGAAAGGTTCACTTTTGGCGGGAACCAACCATTCCCTGATAAAAGCTATTTGTAGCTAGACGACTAAAATTTTATTTGAGTATCTTTTAGATGCTCTAAACGCGTCCATGATAATATTTTACAAACGACCTCATGTGTTTCAATTATCGATGACGATGAAAAGAGACAAAACAGTTGAATGGACGAACAATAGGGTCGGTTATAAGATCAAAGAGAAGTGATTATCATAGCCGTTTAGTAATCTGTCCGTACCGGTCACCGATCATAACGCGTGTCCTGTTAAGGAACGTTGTATAAGCTATAAGGAATATAAACAGAAATGTGACCACCTATGGAAGACAAGAACTGGTACGTTTCTATTACCACGGTTATCATACGGCCTACATCTGTATATATAATATAGAATATTATATTAATATAGAATTTAGAATATTATATTAATATAGAATTTAGAATATTATGAATAATGGATTATGAATAATTTTCGCAAGAGTGGTTATTACATGATTATTACATTAACGATTTCCCGTTTCCGCGAGTATGTAAATATGTTTTTCACGTGCGGTGTTGTTGCATAACGCGTGTCCTGTTAAGGAACGTTGTATAAGCTATAAGAAATATAAACAGAAATGTGACCACCTATGGAAGACAAGAACTGGTACGTTTCTATTACCACCGTTATCATACGGCCTACATCTGTATATATAATATAGAATATTATATGATATAGAATATTATATTAATATAGAATTTAGAATATTATGAATAATGGATTATGAATAATTTTCGCAAGAGTCCCTAATGATTATTACATTAACGATTTCCCGTTTCCGCGAGTATGTAAATATGTTTTTCACGTGCGGTGTTGTTGCAAATAATATTATTTTTAAACATCTGATGTCGAAAACATGAAAAACATACACTGTGGCTTTGGTGACGCAGTGGCGGATATATCCTAGTTCTGAAGGGGGAACAATTTTTAAATCCATATTGGTAATGAGGTTCGTTCACTCCAGTGTTTAATTTAGAACTTCTTTCCCGGGGTGGATGAGGATATCGTAAATTTCCAAGGGACTATACTAAAGACAGAGCCGGATCTAGGTATTTTTACACTTGGGGAACAAATTAAGAAAATACGCTCAATGATGACTGTTATACGACTGCACGTATAGCTCTTTCCAACCTAAAATGTTTAAAGTATTGCCAAATACATGTGGCCTTTGTCGTGTATAATTTTTGAAGTAGAACATCGCCTTATAATTATCTAAAAACACTAAAATCAAGTTTCATCTAAGCTAGTTTCCCACGGCCCGTAACTTGTAGACCCGTACAGTACGACATAAGAGCCGTGGAATTGATAACTATTGCAGTGATATGATTTAACTCGCGATTGCAATGATCACTAGATAGGTTAGCCTGTAATCGTGGGACAAAAGTTACCGAACAATATAAAATTATTAATCTCCTTCTCTTTATCATATGCGCAGACGGTGTCAGCTAATCTTGCCTTCTAAGTCTCCCTATCTATCACAATTTTCTGACTATTCCTCATGTTTTCATTTCATCCATTCTTCTATCAACATGATAATTGTTACATCTGACATTCTCTCCCGTTCCCCCTCCCGCGCTATACTTCCTACTTCTAAACTTTATATTCTATAATAAAACAATATAAAAAAACTGACTTTCAAATAATCCGGTGCTCGGCGGTGTTGATGGTGGTGGAATCGATGTCGGTGGGTTTCCGGCCGTTGCTGGATCCTGGTTCACACACTCGGAAACGGTGTACTTCATGCGGTCCGTACTTCCCCGTTTCCCGTTATTACAACAGTCGTCAGCCGAAGAAACCAACATGGCGCAGTACTGACGTTGGGGCATGGTCCGCTGTCCAACTTCAGGATCGGCAGCAATAGCGGCTGCGACCGCAGCTGGTGGTGGCGGTGGCGGAGCAGGTACAACGCCATAGAATAACGTACCAGGGAGCACGGGACACTCAACGGGAACGTAGGATTTGCCAGTTGTTCCTGTAAACCAAAAAATACATGAGAATTATTTACCATGGTTGTGATTGGTCGATCGGGTAAGTGATCATCCATGGTGAGCACATCGTTTGTTTGGATTTAGTATAGAAGTTTAAACTCACTGGGTTCCGTGACCCACCACTGACGGCGGGGATTAAGGTTTTTCTGCTTGTTAACATCAAAACCACGATTTTCCGACTTTTTCTCCTTACAGAGTTCCCGTGCAAAGCTTTTCATATCCTGGTCTGGTTTTGGCAGGCCAGTGCCTAAAAATTATACGACATAGTTATGAGTAATGCCTAGAACTCAATAAATTCGTATTTTTTTTTTTTAGTTATTTGTAGTTATTTGTAGTAACATTTTCTAAAACTTGTTTGATGTGGATAACATTTTATTGGCTCATATTAATTTTACAAAAATTGAAAATGGGTTCATCATAAATTATACTGAATGATAAAACAAAATGCTGAGCGTTATTTTAAAGTTTTTTTTTATATTTTATGGATTTATAATAAAATTCACAGACGAGTTATTGGTTAAATTTCTGAACGTTTAATAAAGTTTATAAACTTTAATTATATTTACGAGCAGACAATATTTAATGAAATATTTTGATATTTGACATTAATTATATCATGTATTTTTTGTTTTCAAGTTCCAGGTTTCTACTTATCGATATTTAACAAACATCATATACTAACCAACAACAGAATATTCCAATATATTTGGGCCTCTAGGTACAAACCACAGACAACTGTAAGTCATGTTATAATCGTTTCCTATGTTGATCGGCGTAGAACTATTTTCGTTGTCACTAGAATAAATGGTATTAACATTAAATATAACAAATTAATTAATCATCAAAACTTGGATCTTTATATTCTTAATCCTCGTTATTAACACTTCTCACACAACGCCATCTATATTTAGTTGGGTTGTTTTTTTGTGTGAAACTGCGCTTTCTCCGTGTTTCCTTATGTTCTTTATCGTTGTTAATTAATTGTTCATACTCTTCTATTAACATGTCAAACGACTTTATCAAATCTTTAGCCTCAAACATTGAATTGTAAGTAGAATGAACTCTCGATTGGGTTCTTGGCGGGGTATACGGAGGTGTAGGTGGTGGACTCGGTGGTGGAGTTGGTCCGGACGGAATAGGAAGACTCGATGCTATGACATCGGATAACGAACGCCTAGATCTTGCATTGTCCCTCTGGATAACATATTTCTGTAAACCAACAATCATATTGATCAAAATATAATATTTTAGACTATAGTAAAACATGTATGTTAATGGTTTTTGATAAAAGTCGTATTAGTTGCGTCTTACAGTACCCACTGTTATCCACAACGATTTTGTAATTTTTTCTTGTTGTGCATTATAGAAATTTTATTTAGATTTTCCAAGGGGTTTCCAAAATAATTAGAAAAATCTAGAAAGAGAATTATAACTTAAAAGGCAAACAATTACGTCATACCATGATATTACTCTATTTAAGTGTTTTTAATTTTTGAAAAACTATATAATTATTTAATATTTTCGTGTTTTTGCATATATTTTTATTTGGTAGTTATCTGTAATGAAAATTTGTCAGACTTGGATAACTACTTGAANACATTATAAGTTATACTTAGTCATTTAAAAAAAAAAAATTGAGTTTAATGCAGTTAAATGCTTTCAAAATTTAAAAATATGTACAAGAACTTTATGTGTTTCGTAGTGTTCTTCAGTGTTTTTCAATAGCACTAATATTTTGAATACGTTAATGAAAAGACGGGGCAAAAAACGAATGTTTAAAACAAATATCTTCAATTAGGTTTAGCAGAGAAACAAAATCCAGTTAAATTACGGGTGGTATGATATCCGCTTAATTTGTTTTTTGTTTATGTTACCTCATAATCGAAATCCGTGACAAACTCAGTAACAGGAATAACTTTAGCTTCANATATTTTGAATACGTTAATGAAAGGACGGGGCAAAAAACGAAAGTTTAAAACAAATATCTTCAATTAGGTTTAGCAGAGAAACAAAATCCAGTTAAATTACGGGTGGTATGATATCCACTTAATTTGTTTTTTGTTTATGTTACCTCATAATCGAAATCCGTGACAAACTCAGTAACAGGAATAACTTTAGCTTCAGATACGGAACGCTTTCCGCGGGGAACCACTTTTGGAAATACATATTTATCAGTTGTTTCGGTTGTAGTTGGAAATATATTGTGATCATTATCGTTCTGTATAATCTGTATTGGTATTTTAGTGGTTGATGATTCAAACATTGAGTTGAAGGTTTTAATGATTTCTGGAGCTAAGGCACGCCATAAGCCACCCCGTACTTGACGCCGTTCACGAGAAACAGTTTTAGAGAATTTTTTTTCGGTCGTAGTTTCATCGTTATAATGTAATATTGTTCTATTATAGGGATGAGGATATGAATTTATGGAACGACGTCCACGAGGAACCATTTTTGGGAAGATATATTTAATAATCTTTTCGGTTGTTGCGACTGTGTCCTCCTCATAGTTCTTACAGTCACACAACATGGATTTATCCTCAGCATTGTATAAGATAGACCTTCGTCCCCGGGGAACCATTTTTGGGAATATATATTTATATGGTTTTTCGGTAGTGCTTGTTATTATTTCGGTCTTGCTAGTTGATTCCGGAATTATTAACTTCTGGTTAACTGCACATCGGCAAATCGGCGGTGATAAATCGCGTCGAGTTCTGATGTTGTTAATTGAATCATCAGCAATATTTGCATCCATTGCAACTTTGTCGGTGGCAATTTTTTTGTTTTTATTTAAACGTAGATCATTTAGATCATCAAAGTCATCTAAATTATCGACGCCTTGTAAATCGTATAGATTATCCAAGTCATCCAGATCATTCGGGTCATCTTGATCTCCTTGATATCCCTGCAAATAATTTATTATGTACTCTTTTAGATTCTGAGTGGAGAGAATAAGCTTATGGTTTTACAATGATGTTAATTTTATTTTAATTTTTTTTTATCTGTACTCAACTTTTCTACCAGTAACATGCTCAGATTTTTAACAGCTTTTCCAAAGGAAAATCAGTGTGGGAGGTATTTCAAGTTGGTTGTTTTTTGGTCTTCTCAGGTTTTTTTTCATCAAATTTGAAAAATCGAAAAAAAATACGTTAAAGTTTACGAAATGTCTACTAAAATATTACGACTATTTTCCTGTGCACACATTTTCAATCAGCAAATTTGCTCAAACTAATAATATTTGCAATATTTCTGAAATAAAATTTCACAAGGGAGGTACATTAGAAAGGAAATTTTTCTATTTTGTCTGGAGTTTTCTAATGAAATTTGAAAAACCGAAAAGAAACGGGAAAATGTACTAAATATATTACTAAAATTTAGAGCATAAATTTAAAATTTGCTGTCTCATAAATATTTGGCACTTTTCGAGCCCTAGGAAGATACTCCCTTGTCCTCCACCCATTATATAGCTTTGAGAAGGTCTCGAATAGTTTAATTTTTTATTTTAAGTTTAACATTAACATAATACATCTGTAACCACAAAGTAGTGAACATTTGAATTCAAGTATTTTTATTGAATAACTAGTATGTAATATGAAATATTCGTAATAACTAGTATGAAATATACGGTTTGGGTTTTGTTTTTCTTTACCTTATCTTTAGGTATTTTCAGATTAGAAATATATGGTATATCGCTATCTGATATAGGTGCATCGTATTGGGTTTTATGATCAGAGTCATCTATGACATCCGATAAAATCGATCGTTTCTGTATTCTTATTGGTTGCCTAGTTGGCAACCGTAGATTTGTAATTTCCGTGTTTCTTTGTTGCTGAAAAAAAAAAAACAATTGATATCCAATATACACCATTTAAAATGTTATTTATTTATTGTTATAGTACGGATCGTGTTTTCAATGAACTATCAATCATTTTGCAATACAGTCATACGCTTGTGTCTTATGAATTATAAAAGCTACATATTTAATTTTTGGTATATATACAATTTAATGCACATTTTAAATTAAGTATTGGTTGGCCAGGCATTCAGAGTGCTTTAACTCGTCAACAAGATACGCAGTTATTATTTTTAACGGTATTTTTCTCTTGGACTAAGACTATACATTTGGTCTATTTCCGATCCGTTCCAACTAGATTAGCTCCGACGAGTCAAAATAAAATAAATACACACTGTTATATGCTCGTGGCTACAGGATTGGCTGACAGTCATCGGACGAATTTGATATTTCATATTTGTATTTATCTCAGTAAACAATTTTTTTGGACTTTTATCGTAGTCAAATTATTATAACGTGATTGTATTTCTTAAGTCAGTATGATGTATCAATATAATAAGGCGTATACGTTCAACAGAGTTGTTTGATACTAGAATACGTGCCATTAACTATAAGTATACATTTTTTATTCTGAATGGAGCGAAGAAGGTTATGGTTTTACAAAGATGGTTATTTGTTATTTATCCGTACACCGTTTCTAAATTGCTCCGACTTTTAAGTGTGGCAACTTGTCTAAGAGGAAATCGGACTGCTGTGGTACTATATGGAGGTCTTTTTTCGATTTTCTCAGTTTTCTCAACAACAATGAAAAAATGGGAAAAATCAAGGGAAAACCGGGAAAATGTACGATTATATATGTGAGTATTAGTTGAAAAATATTTCGGATTTTTTTGTTTTCTACAACTTTTCTACAAACAATTTCGCTCCAATTTACAATAATAGCAATTTTTCAAAAAGGAAATCTGACTAGGAAGGTACTTTAGTAAGATCCTTTATTTATTTCTCTCAAAAAATATGAAAAATTGGGAAAAAACAAGGGAAACCCGGGAAAAATGTAGTAAAAATTGGAAAATCAGTTGAAATATTTTTAAAAATATATATACTATACATATTTAATTATCATACTATAATATGACATATATATTGTTGACAAAAGCATCACTATCAACTGAGTTCCACTCAAAATTGTTTTTTCGTTAGCAATGGTTTATTTTTAATTACAGATAAACATTAAATTACTTAAACAGTGGCTGCACCCGTTATTATAGTACCAGAACATCTTTTTTTTTTTATTTACAGTCCTATTTTGAATAACTTATCCTTCATTATTCAAATTTAATTTTGAACAAGAATGATGATTTCAAGAAAAAGAAGATCTATTTGCGTTCTAAAATAGCAAAAACAAAACTATAGAGGTAATCGAATCATATTGTGCTGCCACTACGTTGTACGCGTTTGAACGGATATCGTATTAAATCCTTTCTGGTGGGATCGGAAACAGAGGTCCAATGTAGCCTTATCCGTGTTATGACTTTTATGTCTATGAGACGCATTTATACGTAGGAGTTTTGAATTTTTGATGGTTATTTTCCTTTTTTTACCTGCATTGTAGTAGAATTCTTGGTATGAACATTTAATTTCTCAAAACTCATCTCTAAATGTCGGTTCTTTTTACCGTTAGTTTCCCCTTGTGAAGGTTTTACTTTCAACCAACCCAATTTGTCGTTGTACCTCCATTCTGGGTAATTTTTCATCTCCAACATTTTCATCTATAAACAAACAGTGTAAACCAATGTTGTTCAATTATCTTCCATATTAATAGTAAGCCTGAAAGTAGTTCCATTTTAAATTCTACACATTTAAAACTAAGCTACACCATTTTCGAAAAAAAATATTAAGAATTATCTTCTGTTCCTTATTTGATTGTTTTTTTTTTTAACACTCTTCAGTGATTAAATTGTTCCATGTGTAAACATATGTTAAGACTGATAGTTTTTTATTAATAAATTTTTATTCAATGTGAATGTTTAACTGATTTTATCGTTACTCCCTGTTATTTACACTGAATCGCCACTGTATCATACATCTTTGTCTTCCCGCGTAATCCGGTAGGCTACCTTCGGTGTTTAGTAAATTATAAGCATAAATTTCATTTTTTATCTACCTGAACAAAACTCTTTTCATTAGGATCAGGAGTCGGTCTTGGTACAAGTCTGGGAGCTGGCGTAAAATATTTCGACCAATTCATCGGATTTACCCAGTCCCATCCCCTTTTGTTTCTGTTTATCTTTCTGGTTCTAATAGTATGGGAATTCTGCAGAAAGTAATGCTGTTTCTCAGTCGATCCAATATTCCGTATCTACAAACAAAAAAGTTTTGTATTGATCTTATAGACTAATCAACTGTGTTATTTTAATTTTAATCAGATAAGACAGATGACAGAAATACAATCGATGGCAACTCATGGATTTTTTATCATGTAGTACCAATTTATAAAAATAAATTCAAAAAAGAAAAAAATTTGAATATATTATCATTTTTTTTTAAAACAATTGAATTTCAAACTTCAAGTATGTGTTTATAAATAAAATCAATTCTCCTATCTGATTTTCGTAGACCTATATTTATTTTTTCATTAAAGGTGGGAATTTTAGTTATCATTTGTTTTTTAATCGATAGCATTTTTAGGGCTGTAATCCGATTTTCCTTCGTTGAATATTTTAAAAAAAGTTCCTATGTAGAAAAATATTTTTCGCTTCAGTTTTAGTCTTTAGATAGTTAAAATTGTTTATAAAAATCAATAGCTTTTAGAAATTATCAGAGTAAAAGTATTCTTAATTATAAATTTCAATAGATGAACTGATGAAGTCATATCACGAAAATCGATTCTTTTTTAGAATATTTGTAGTTAGATTTTAAGTTTATTAAAATCTAAAAAAGGATATGCATCAACAGTTTTATTAAAATTGGAATGTTATTTTGTTATTTTTGTACGTAGAGAAATTAATAAACAAAAATAGATACGAAAAATTTAAAGAATTTTTTGCAGCGGGTTTTGCTTCTGTAACATTTTGTCTTCGTTTTTTAGTTAGTGGATTTTGAGAGGTTTACTTTTCTACAAAATTGTTATCAAAATGTTGTATATTTTTGTAATATATTTTTGAAAGAATTACAGAGTCCATAGTTTGTTTTAAATTCAGAGTATTGCGAGTACTATGATGTGTTTTTTTTCTGTCTGTAAAAAACTTTTCAAAAAAAATCTAGCTCCGGTTTTTAGAGCGTAAAATATTTTTCGAATGGCGACTTTGTCTATTTGGTTCTTAAAATAAATCATTTTTTTTGATTTTCCAAAATAATTTAAGGTCCCCTAATTTGAATCCAATTTAACCCAATATCAATTGTCACATCGTGAGAATGTATCCACGATTATTATTTTACTGATAATCTCTTTGACTCGTGTTACTTTTACCGACAATCCTTGGGAAGGTAGTGAGTGACGAATACCGAAAGTACAAGTCAACAATATCAACAATATCTTACAAGTACTCCGTTCCTACTACTCGGCAAATATCAACGAATAGCGAATAACACATCGTGAGAACTCAATGGTGGAGACCCGGTTTAATATATAAACACGAGCAAGAGTAAAAATAGATAATAAAGCCAACGTGCGACGACTGCCTATGATGTTTAAAATATTCAGCTGATAACAATTTTCAACTGGTTATATACACCGTGCGTTAAAACAATATTATCGTGCACATCAATTTACTCCATTACAACGCGAGTAGCGGGTAATAATAAGTTTGAATTTTTACCCCTGTGTTACGGTTCACGTCTCCCATTTATTCCACGTTTCCGTGCCCGACGACGACCCAAGCCGTTTCGCACCATAAACAACTCAATTTACCCAATTTTAAGTTTCGTGATAATATTCAGAATCTCTTAAAATGTTGAAACGCGATTTTCATATAAACCTACAATCCAGGTAACTGCTTACTATAAAATTACTGTTACTATGGTTCAACACTTTTAAATTGTATTATTGGTACGTAAATAGTGCACGTGCATTTAGAATAAGAGCCACCACTGCACCAAGATATTGATGGTAACTGTTAAAAGTTACGTTGATTAAAAAATTGTTCGAGTCAACGGTAACTAACTCATATCAGTTAGGTTAAAAATTGTTTTGAATGTATTTGTCTAGCGTACCTTTATTTCATCTCCGTCAACCACGGTAGGATCCAAATAAATTTCACGCCTNTTCTGTTCACCGCTGTCAATTTCGTCGTGGTGTACGACGTGCACATACTGTGCAGTCCCACCGTCGACTCTCAAGTTTAACCATTCGCCTTGGGCAAAATCCGAAAACCTAATATCAACACGTTTTTAAATTAGGTAAGTGTATTTTGTTGAAAGAATAATAATATTAATAATATATTCGTGGTTAATATTTTGCTCGTGTTACAATAATAGTAACTAAACGAGGAATCCACTCGTTTATATTTTCAAATGTTCGACAACTTAACCTATTTCGTATAATATAATGCAGCGGTTCTCAAACTTTTTTAGTTCAAGGCTCCCGAAATATAAAAATATTTTTTCACTCCTCCCGCAAAGAATTGTTAATAAAATGGGTTAACAATTATTTAATATTTATTAGTTAACAGTAAACTTAATATTTTATTTTATACAAAATAATTAATGCGAAAAATACGCTTGTTTTTCGTTTATTATTTTTTGAAAATTAGGAATTTATGTAGTTACTACAACACGCATTTCTATTTCCACGTTGAGTCTGGACCGATATTTTGATTTTAATACGGCTACTGTTGAAAATCCTGCTTCACACAAATACGATGTGAAAACGGTATTAATATACCTAAAGCTTTGTTGCTTACTTCAGGATATTCATCTTTAATACAGTTCCAATATCCTAAAAGTTAATATGAAGAAAATTGTATTCTTAGTAAAGAATCGGATGGATAAGATAAGATAATCATTTCTATAAAATTGTTATCGGGCACATAATTAATCTAAAAATAACAATATGTAAAAAATTCAAACCTCCCTTGTTAGGTGTTTGCGCAACCTTTGGGTGGCGCGCTGCACAGTTTGGGAACCGCTGGTATAATGTATTTGAATTTTTGCAGATAAACAGAACGAAATACAATTGGAAAAATAATCTATAACTGAACAACACCCGTGTATACCGGGTTTACGGTGACCACTTGCCTGCACTGTTCTTCCGTGGCCTCTCTCTTCGGACGGTCCATGGGCTGCGACGGACGTCGTTCGTTCTGGTAGAGCAGCATCACAGTCTTTCCGTCTTTCACGTGATGACCATCAGGTTTTAATAATCTATCCTCTAAACCATCGCAATGTTCGTCCGCGGATATTGCCATCAATAACTTGGTGCCGTCCGCCGTCACAGATTCGATTAACTATAATGTATTGTAATAATGACATTAATTTTATTTTTATTATTTTTCATCTCGATGTTAAAAAGACGGACATACTCCGCAAAATAGATGGGCCCCTGGTGTTGGGGAAAAGTTAGGAAAGTAGAACATTATAGAGATAATTTATTATACATCTGTTTGCAACGATTAAACGATCATTGCTAATGAACAACGATTCTGAATGGAGTTCAGTTACAAATATTTTGAAAGGCCGTAATATTTACGATTTCCGTCAAAATTTGATATTAAAAGAATTATAATATCTAAAAAAAAATTATACATAGTAGTCAACTTTTTCTTGTTGACTACTACAAGTACGATACCGTTCCACTAAGTAATCTTTATAAAGAATCTAATATAAAATTATCATACATTACTGTTTAATCTAAAAATTGTATCCATAGTGTTCCTAGCCGAAAAAAACTTACAAGATTTAAATGTCTTTAAATGGTTTAAAAATAGCTCAATTATTTTAAAATTGTTCCCACGTCTATAGGGGGTAATTATATGATTTTTCTCCAATTTTCTAGTCAACATATATTTCATCTGAATTATAACAAAACAAAAAACCAAATTGAAAATAATAAAAGCATTATTATTGTAAGTTTTCCATTTCTTCATACGTTATTGCTCAATTATTAAAAATACTACACGGTAAATCGGAAAACTACTTTTTTAATTAACGACTAGTTCCGAAATTCGATAAGAAAGTTCTTTTGTCATTTTTTAATTAAAACAAGATACCTAATAGAAAACATAAGTTTCAGAAATGTAAAACCATAAAATCGTTATGCCGTTACTAATTGTCCGTTTTCCCTACGTTTTTCACAATCATTATGATAACCGCTTGGAAAATAAAAAAAATAATCCCTTTAAGTACCGATAAGATAAAATCTATCAAACGACACAAATTATCTCAAAAGTATTAACTTTTCCAGAATTTGTTTTTTCTATAATATTTAAGCAACAATCCTTTGTACAATTTTAAATATATGTTATTTTTTTGTCACTCTTATTTTTGAGAATAAAACCAATTTTAATTTTCAATTGGCAATCTGTATTAAAATTTCCATAAATAGATAATGCATTAGTTAAATTAAATTTTCGTGTTGAGATTTTTGATTTTCTTCAATCCGTTGATGAAATATTCCATTTTTAAGTTTGGTTTGGGCAGTGGTGCATTAATATATCGCGCACCGTATCGCCACATAAATAATACTCTACTACTCTCTTTCCCCTGAAACTTAAAAGTGAAATATTTCGTCAACGGATTGAAGAAAATCAAAAATGTCAACACCAAAATTTAATCTAATTAATACTTCATCTCTATTTATGGAATTTTTAATATATGTTGCTACTTAAAAATTAAAAATAGGAAGTGGTTTCACCCTTAAATATAGAAATGACAAAAAATAACATAAATATAAAATTGTAGATCACCTTGCTTTTTAAATGTTCTCAAAACAAATTCCGGAAAAATTAATACTTTTTGAGATTATGAGTGTTTAATGATAGATCGATCACCCGGTGATAATATATCATAATCTAAAAAGTATTGGAGTAAAATTTTCTGTAGAATTGTTGTACACGGTACATACAATACTCGTTTATGTATATATATATATATATATATTTATACACAAGTAAAAAAACATCATTGTAAAACCAAAACATTCCTTGCTTCGCTTAGAATCTAAAATATTATACCGACACGGTTGAAATTCATTTTCATTACTGTTTTTAAATATGGGTTTTATTTTGTATATAATACATATGATATAGACGAGATATACTCACAGCACATTGGTATGACTGTATGCCTAACTTGGCAGCCGACTGGTTGCGGATTAACGCAAACGACAAGTTGCGGCTTGGAATCGAATTGATGTTTACGCTAGGAGCCTTCCACGATGTCACGCAATCATATGCCGTATGAGTCGAGACCATGTCTGAATCGTCTGTAGATAAAAAATATGAACAATATATTATATTAATACCGTGTAAAAATCATACTGTTAATCAATATTTTTCTCGTATTGCGGCAAACGATCGACCCGGTGGCGCCGATTTCATATTTTTCAGGTTTTGAACGCTCCTACAGACCTTATCTGCCCCCAAATAAAACCAGTGGAATAAAATATATGTATTGCGTAAGTGCCAAAACAAACATGTGCTTTCTGAGATTTTAAACTTGTGACCTCCCTAGCANTATATTTTTATAATACAAACCATAGACGAGGAAAAAAAGTGTTATGACAGAGCTTTGCTGTTAATAGATGTTTTTCTACATTTATTTTCTTTGTAAAACCTGGTAAACTATTTTTTTCAAAATGAAGATAACTCTTATACAGACTATTGTAATACATATAACTACTATAAAAATGTTAAACTTATGCGATATCTCTAATATTTATAGAATAACCGTATGATTCTAACCCGGAAAATATGAGTGGCCGGAAGCTGAACCAAATTTGTTCGATTAAATTAATATCGATTAATATATGAGATCAATATTATATTGTCTACCGGATTCGATAATCATATATTATATATGCATTACCTTTATATGAGCAGTGTCCTCCACTACCACCTTGCGGATTCATCAACTTAAGGTTAAACTGATCAGCCTTTTTTACAGCGCAACCAGAAACCGGAGGCCACACGTGTCCCATCACTATGACGTTGTACTCGGCCGAATTCCATATGGACGGACACCAATTTATCATGGTCTCATCTGAAACACAAGATAAAAAGGTGGGACATGTAATAACGTATTTGTTTACATAATTCTATTTTAGTTTTAAGTATTTCATGTAAATTTAGTGAAATCTAACAGTAGTGAAAATCGACGAATCGTCATCATATCACTGTGACTACTCTTTATAAAACAATATTACTTATACTTAATTAACTCTACAAATCCTGTTTTTCATTGATTTTTTTTTCATCATAATAGTTCGTATATAGTAGTGTTTTTTAGGGTGGAGGAATTCACTTCATAGGTTGAACATACAACTTTCCCTGAAGGAGGAGATAAGAAAACTTACATGGTATCTCTATCTATAGTAAATTAGATTGCATCAAGATGTCGATAGTCGGTCAATAATTCTGTCAAACAAGATGGGGAGTCTAAACAAATTCAAATAGAATAATCATCCTATCTCAGGACTCTAGTGTACGCGGAGACAACATGTGAGAGGAATTGACGTAGTTGGAAGTGAAGGTGTCTAGGTGATAGAGTATGATACCAAAATTAGAGTGAAACAGAGTGTAGAGTATAAATTTGGAGGAACTGGACAAGATCCAACATCCAACACACGAATATTCCTCCAAACACGATACTCACTATAATAAATATACTATTTTACACACATTAAGTTTTTTCTATTAATAATTTATTTTTTTTATTATTAACCGTGTTTATTTAGTGGTGATATCAAAACCATTTAGTCCATTTTTCAATAAAAAAGAACCTTCGCCCTTTTGTTTATATTTGCGTAGGTATTAATAAATTCAAAAAATACACTGAACCAATTAGAGAAAAGTTTTTATCATTTTCCTCTTCAGATGTTTTATTAGAGTTTGCAGTAAAAAAAATAAAGACGGGCATATTCGCACAATAGATGCAACCATCGTTGTTAGTGAGAAGTATATATATCTCACCAGTTTGATTTCCTTTCAGAAAAAGTGATATCATTGTTAATCGGAGCAAAACTGCTGCTAGAAAAAATGTTCACAGGAAAAAAAAAGCTGTAATATTTTTTAACTAACACATGAATTTCATACATTTTATCATTTTATCCTATTAAAAAAACTTTTGAACAAATCGAATAATAACCTCCTTATAATACCTCCTCAGTCCGATTTCGTCGGGAAAAGTGCTACACTTAAAAATTGGAGCAAGATTTCTGGTACAAAAATAAATAATAAAATAGTCCGAGCAAGAGATAGCTGGATTTTAAGTACACTGAAAAGTATTTTCCCTGTATTTAGGTAAAAGGGAAAAAAAAGGCAAAATATTTGTTTTCGAAACACAGGTTTGAACCCACGAAGGTGTATAACTAAAAATGTAGGTATTGGGCTACGACAAACATACTTTAAAGACAATATAGAGTTGAGTAAATAAATTTAATAAATAAAAAATATATATGTATAACAATAAAATAAATAAATGAATCAATGCATCGCCTGCAGTATTATACGTGTTATATTATACGACGAGTTTCGAATTAAAAATTCATCAGGTATATCACAGTCAAAATGTAAACTGTGACTGAATATAAAAAATTAAATGAAAGAATACATAGAAAAAAAATTACAAATTGGTCGTTTTACATAGAATATAGAAATAATTTATTTTAATCGGACAGATTATTTAAAATTACTTATTATTAGACATAGATATGTTAAAAAATATAAATTATATGATTATTATTTATTATCTAAAATGCATTGATGTAAGATATTATTTTTAAAATCGGTTTGAACATTTAAAAAAAATTATTAAAATTATTTTTCTTTATTTCATTGTGAATGTGTAATTCTTCTAAAATTAAATTAATGTAAATGCTTTTTTCGGTATTAAATATTTCTAAGTCTGTATTAATATGAAAACTTATATTATGNTACATGTAAGTTTATATATACCAGCATTTTCAAAAGAAGGGGGATTTTTTCTAAAGTATTTAGTTCTATTGTTTATATGTTTGATTAAATTATTATTAGTCTTAAAAGCGATTTTTACATTATTTGTATTTGTGTTCAGAATTTTAACGAATTCGTTAGACATATTATTTTAATGCTTTATACTACAATAGTTTACAACATAATTTGGTGAGTTGTGTATTATTTTTTCTTTAATACGTTTATGAATTTTTTTAATAGTATTTAAATTGAAATTATTTTTTTGGGCTATATTATAGATAATATTGAGCTCGTGTTGATAATTATGTTTATTTAATGGAATACGTTCAAGCCTATATAATATTGAATTAAAATATGATACGTTCTGAGAATAAGGGTAGTTAGAATCATGTGGTATTATTGCATCAGTTTGTGTAGATTTCTTGTAAATACTAAAATCAAATTTATTGTATATTATGGAAACTATACGATCTAAGAATTTTAATTTATTATTTATTTGGATTTCGAGTGTAAATTGAATGTTTTTATTTTTTTTGTTTAAGTAGTTAATTCAATTTTCTGCTTGTCTATTATACTTCTAAATATAATGAACGTGTCATCAACATATCGATAATATGATTTTTTATATGGACTGTATATTTTATTGTTAATAATTTTACTGGTTTCATAATATTGCATGTAAATTTCAGAGAAAGGATCACTTAAAGAACCACCCATAACTAACCCATTTTTTTGCAAATATAATTTATTATTATATTGGAAATAGTTTTGATTAATAATTACATTTATTGATTGAATAATTTCTTGTACTTCATTAGTATTAAATTTATTACTACGTATAGGTTTATTTTTTAAAATATTTACTGTTTCGTGTTTAGGAATAGATATATATATATATATATATATATATATAAATTGTTGACGTCAAAAGAAATTGTTTTGTAATCGGTCTCAATATTAATTTTATTAATTTTATCAATAAAAATAAGTGCTTTTTATAGAAAGTATTCATCAGTATTCATGTTTAATTCTTCTTTTATAAGAGTCTAAATATTTAGAAACGTTATAAGCTGGAGCAGTTTTAAATTTAATTAATGGACGAATCGGATTTTCTCGTTTCTGTAATATTATTAATGGATATAAGAGTGGAGCCTCTATTTTGTAATCAAATTTTAATAATATTTTCTTTTGGAGTTTAAGTATGATTTCTTTCGAATTTATTTTATAAGTTGAATCAGTTTATTAATTTGTTTAGTATAAATTATAGTTGGGTCATATGTTATGTTTTGAATATTATTATTATTTATAAAATCTATAGTTTTTTTTAAGAATAAGTAAAAATTTCATTAGTAAAAATGATATCAATAGCATTTGATTTATCTACCGGAACTATTGATGAATTATTTGATTCTAATTTATTCATGTCATTAATAATTGTATTTTGTCATTTAGCTATACTGTTTGTTATAATATTTTGTCAGATTTATTTTTGTAGTTTTTATTAGTACTGTTTATTAAGTTATATCTTGTTTGATTTTGATTCGTTAATTTTTTTATTTTTATATTTGCATTTTTTATCTATATATTTATTTACGAGTATTGGCCATTTTAGTAATTTTATTTTTGCTTTATTATTTTATTAAATATAGAATTATTTAACATAAAATATAATATCCACAGAATATCTGAACTTCAAAAAGCTATAATTTCGAAACTAAGATAGTCTTCTCAGTTCTGACTTCGCCATCGTTCTGAAAGCGGCAATATAAATACTATTAAATATATTATGTTTGAAAAAAAAAATTGAAAAATTAGATTCGTTCCATATAATTTTTTACTCGATTTTCGTCAAATTTTTATATTAAAATTCCTTTATAAAAAAAAATTACTACATAAATTGATTTATGACCACAAAGCAAGACTTTTAATGAACCACCTATTAAATTATCAATAATTTCTGTCTAACAATTTTACCACAGAGTACCTACCGAATAAAAATTACGTACAAAACTCACAAAATTTAAGTGTCTATAAATAACTCAAAAATGGCTTAAATTTTTTTCAAAAACAAACTTAAGTTGTTTATCCAAATTTCAAGTCTCTACAAATATTTTTAACTGAATTACAACAAATAACAAAATTTAAAAATAATAATAGCATTATTTTCTTAAATTTCCCGTTTTTCTTACGATTTATTCTGGTTTTCTCAGATATTATGAAAACCATTTGGATAATCAAAAAATTACTTTCCAAAAGTACCATCAGTAAAATATTACCTTTCAGAAATGATGCTACGCGTACATATCAAAGCAGGATTTCTGGTAGACATTTTGTACACAGTATAAAAAAGAAATTAAGTAAATAACTTAGTAAAACCGATACTTTCTTCGTTACACTTAAAATCTAAAATGCAGTACTAATTACTACTTGTATTTTGGTTATGTTCAAATTAAAAAAAAAAACCCATAGCCGACGAAATACACCCTATACGATAAAAATGTTACGCGATTTTTTTTCTTTAGCCGACAACTATACGGCGGTTTTAAATAGATGTTTTTTTTTTTGATTTTTATTCATGCAAACAAACCGGATATATTATTTAGGTTGCCGCGTTTTCGATTTTTTTGGACACAGCCGGCTGTTCTGTGCGAACTTGAGACTTTTCTCGTTCGCTCCTACAACAGTGACGCATCCGTTCCCAGTATAAGATCTTATTTTTTAGTTTTGTATTTATTTTTATTTTTCTGGTCTGGGCGACGGGGTTTCGTATTATTCAGTGAAAACGTATAGATAAAGTTAATATTCAATCATGGTTTTTAAGAAATTGTTTATATAGGTATACCTATATCCGGAATACCGTATTCACAACAATATATTTCCGCCTTGACCTTTTTCTATTATTTATAAGATTATCTATTTTAAAATTCAATTAGCTTTACTTTTAAATCAGAGAAATTAAAAATTGGGAACCTAACCTAATCTATAGAAAATAAAACCTGCCGTATTATACTTAAGACGAATCCTATTATATCCTATAAGCACTATACTATTGTGAAGGTAAGATTTTTAACTAACAAAACATTTTTAGATATATATATACCTAACACATACACATGTATAAAAAAATTCTTTGTGCAGTGTAAGAAAATTGTACTTGACGATGTATAGGTTATTAGAGGTGAGACTTTTAAACGCTTCTACCATTTAAGCTTTTTTAATTATATTTTAACCCCTCCAGACCTGGAATTAATTTTTTTGAGTTACATTCTTTTTCGGTTATTAATTTTTAATTTATGGGATGCTTCATAAGATAAAATAACTTTTTTTTTTTTTTACTAAGTTTTTAACAAGTTATAAGTATGTCTCCAGTAGAGGACATCAGGCGTTTACTGAGTCAAAATAATATTATTAGTTTTAATTTTTGGGAAGAATTTATGATTCGTACTTGTTGATTACTCTGTTTTCATGGAGGGAAAAAATATCAGATTTTTAAAACCATATTTTCAACTTTAATTTATACGTTTATTGTCGAAAACAATCAAAAATGTTACATCAACATTTTTCAAAAGTATTTTATGGTAAAACTTAAACGTGATAAGAATTACGTTGTTAATTTTATGATTTTTGTATAATCTATGGATGCACAATATGCACTTTTAATAATATAAACCAATTTGAAATGATGATAAATAGCATTTAAAGTTCTTCTTACAGAACATCCGATCTGAAAGGGTTAATAGGTCTTTATGGACTTTTTTTAACGTTTTTACTAAGTTTTTTTGTGTTTTATAAGTACAATAAGTTCCGAGCATTCTTAATTACTTTGGTGGGTACTTACTACATAGATATACCTATAGTTATTTGATTTAAAAGATAATTATAGGACAGATTGAATTATATCAATTACTTACGCATGTACAAAAATTTATTAATTAAAAATTAATCTTTTTATTTTTGTTTTAGGTACGTATTATACACAATTTTAAAATTCAATATCTTCCTCCTAGGAAGACCGTCTAATTCATTCTAAAAAAATACTAAATACTGAAAGTTAATGTACATTTATAATGTTTACTAACCGTATAAGGTGATTATTCGTTGTTAATTAAACACTCGTGTTTCAAATGTATTAATTTTTTTTTTTCAAAAAGAAATTTTTGGGTTGGTGGGTTGACGGAAATTGACAACTTCAACACCAAAATGTACTTAAACTGATTCCATAATATGCAATTCTTAGTATTAATTGCTTTTTAAAAGTCGAAATTCAATAGTGATTTAACTACAAAAAATAAAATAAAAGTTTTACGAAATTTTAGAAAAACCGTATACTTACGACATAAAGTTTTGGAAAAAAATTCAATACTTTCAATAATAATTGAGTGTTTAATAATAAAAGAATTACGCTATATAATCGCAGTGACGTCCCATCCCGATCTTTATGTTCACTATGACTATCCCGCGTATAGTATTAGCTGTGTGCGTATCATACTATAAAAATGTCAGGAAAACGACGATGAAGCGAAAACAATCGTTATTTCTTCCCACGTTTCCGATATTTTCGTGTGTTTGTTCTAGTCATGCGCAAACTTCGGGAAACCAATCGCGTGCGAATCGTCTGAATAATGTTCGATGAGTTCGATCTATAATACTGATACGGCGCAGGGTCAAAACAAAAAAGACGGACATACTTCACACAATGGGTCGGCCACTGTTGTCGGGGAGAAATTGAGAAGGTAGGATGTAGAAGAGAATTTAATTTATATCTGTACGCAACGATTATTCTTTGTTAACAAAAAACGATTCTGAGCGGAGTCCGGTTATACATATTTAAAAGGCCATAATATTTACGGTTTTTTGTCAACATTTTTATATTATAATTATTCTTATAAAAATATAATATTAAATTCAACTTGTTTGTGTATTACTATTATTATTATATTAATATTGTAATACATGACGTATGGATAAAAATGTAATATTCATGATATTATATTTGTATTGAGTTACTGCAGTGATATAGATATATATATCTATAATCGTTGTCAATATTCGGAAACTCGGCCATTAAATTATAATTTGTTTGTTTTTTTTTATATATATATATATATATATATACATAAATTACTATTGCTATCGATTTTCAATTCGTATCTATGTTACAAATATTATTATTTAAATTTTTTTTTTCACAAATAAAAAGTCAGCCGTCGGAACGTATTGTATATGCTCAAAAAATTAATTGAAAAACATTTTTTTCGGATGTTTTATGAATAATTTAATTTTTTTTTACTACTACACCGTATAAAGAAATACGTATAGAAAATACAAAATTCGGATACTACGGATTTATTATTTATTATTTTTTTTTCCGAAACCATTGATTATAATGTTTTTTAGTTATACTATAAAACATATACATATATACTATATTATTATACTGGGCTTTTAGAAATCTGTATTGTCATTTTTCAACCGTTATCACCGTATCATACTCACCCACGCATTGTTGCGGCTATTACAATATTATAGATATACTTATACACTAATACTATTACTACTACTGCTACGACTTTTTTTTTTCTACACACTAGACGACACCACGAAGATTGATAATATTGTTTTGTAAAATCTTCGAAGCTGTAAGTACGTTAGGTAGGTAATTTATCTGTATTATAATATACGTTACTATAATATTGGTATATAATAATAATATTCTTGTAAAAAAAAAATACCGACCGTTCGTGAGTTTAATAAAATTCGTTTTACCCATTGATATTTTGCATTTCGCAGTAAAACGACTAGGCGGATGGTAAGGGAGGTGGTGGAGGGGCAACGATTTTACACTCTATTATTATTATTTTAATATACCCGAGTGTAACATGACTTTATAGTGTTATTTTATAGCCTATTTAATACATTTGTACCTATATATTATATGCGATTTGATGATATTATTATGGTATTTGTACGTTGTGTATCGATGTTATGTAATCTATATATGTGTTTCATCGTACATTTTTTTTTTTTTTATCAATTTATTTACCTGTAAGCAAATCGTCAAAAAATGTATGTATAACCTATGTATAAATGTATATTGTATATGATGTGTAATAGCTGATCACGCTTCTAGATATCTATTATAATATACAAATGTATGAATAGAATTATTTTGGGTTTTTTTTATTTTGTTCAACACTTACCTACCCTCACATAATATTCTTTTATAGGACAGACAATACGTCCTATGCTATGCGTAAACATCATGACGTATTATACTGCGATGGTTTTTTTTTTTTGATTTTTTTTAAATATTATAATATAGTGACGTCGATCCTATGATCGTTTATAATGCGCACGTCTAAACGAGTTGAAATTATTATTGTTTTTTTTTTTTTTTTTTCATATACTTATTATAAACACATTAATGTGTACCTACACGTATACTTACCAATAGGTGAAAAATTGGACAGCGAAAAAACACTCAACAAAGATAAGGTAAACATAAACCCGTACTCTCAAAGTTTGTAAAGTTCAGTTCTCTGTCCCCATGCCATAATGCCATAATGTATAAATACGCATTGCGATGTTTACGGTCAAAAAAATGGATATTTTCGACTACCTATGATATATCCAAAACGATGATCGTGCAACGGTTCGCCTCTGTCGCGACCGTCGTCACCCCCACCGATTTTACTCTTTTACAATAGGCAAATTTTTATTGTCAGAGCCGGCTTTTAGACCGAGCAAGCGGGGCCCACGCCCTGGGCCTTGGCGTTTTATATTCTGGCGATGAGAAAAAAAAGAAGGACCACTCATTCTTATTAACCTATTACCACGTAAAATTGTAAAATAGAAACGATAAAAATTAATTTTTTTCATTAGATTTGGCCAACTACAATAATATTTAAAAAAAAATAAATCCTATTGGCCGACTGATATGAATCCAAGGGGTCTAACCGTTTATTTTTTTGGTATACTTATTATTATTTTTTTTTTTTTGTACAAGATAGGTAGGTGTATAATATACTATAACAAAAATCAAAACGTACACGGATGTTATTTACGCATATAAATCGTTGTATATTTTATTAAAGCAGTTTAAAAATAACACAAAATCAATAAAATTAAACAAAAAAAATTCCAAAAAGCTGATAGGCGGTCGAGTTCATTCTAGAAAGCAAGAAAAAAAAACATTACCATAGCTATACTAAGAATATGGAAAAAAAAAAGCTAATATTATTGCAATACATATAAAATACTTAAAAAAAATGCTACGAACTGACCGACAAAGTGATAAGTGTTTAAAAACAGCAAAAATCTAAAAAAATTAAGTGTGCACTAGGTCGACACACTTAATGCTTTAACTGGCGGTCGGCCCACCGCTGTCTGGTGTAATTCAACTCTTCGGCCATGCTCATAGGCGCCGTGTATCTCATACACTCGCCGTTCGCCATGGGTTTGGACTTGACCAAGACCAGAACGTTTTCGCTTTCCCAGGATATATGTAAGCACCGCTTCGTCAACACGTCCATCTGCTCGATCATTTCAGGCAACACGTTTGCCAGATCCACCGACACCCGTACATAATCCTTGAATACTTTCGGATCCTTAAGCAAAGCTATAATCGGGTCATTCTTGTTGAACGCCATTTTGAACACTTGTCCGGGTCCGTTGTCGTGCACCACCACCGGGAGGTCATCTGAGTCGGCCACCCCGGTATGAACATTGACTGTAGAAATGTTGTTAGTGTCAATGGGTGTAACAGTCTTGACACCTTTGGCGTCTTCGGTCGGAGTTGCTTTAGCGAGATAGGCCGGGAATCTTACGGGGAAGCCATCGACTACTGGTGCAGGTGTCACTACCTCGAAATGGGTAGGAAATTCTACGGAAGCCTCTTTAAATTCGCCAGGTGTCACTTTTGCAACGTGTGAAGGAGACATTATCGGAACTTTGTTGATGGTCGCTGTCGTTACCGCGAGATGGGCGGGAAAATCTTCGGGGACGTGGATTTCGGACAGTATTGGATACATTTTTTCGAGAAGAGATTTTACAGGACGCTCTTCTCCTTTGGTCGGTTTCAATTTTGTGAACTGAAATGGAGGCTGTATGAGAAATCTGTTTCCTATGGATCGGGCTCTTCGTGGAATGTGATCATAACATTTGGTGATGTATTTCGTTCTGGGTGCATCGGTTACCAGAACATCCCTATAGGATGTTCGGGTTCCTTGTGGTCCATTCACAGTATACTTTTCCGGGACAGCTTTGGCTTCGGGGAAACGGTCCTCGTCGTCATCTACGTCTGGGGACAGGCCGAATCTCGATGCCGGCTTTTCTGTGGAGGCTCTCAAGGAGTCCACTCTGCCCGATATACCGCGGTCGAACGATTTGCTGCTGTGGAAGTTGCCTGTGCACAAACACGACACACAATTACTATGTTAATATAGGTACTAAGCAACGTGACGCGCCGCCTTAACGATAACGCATTGGTAAGTACGCGTTAGGACGGGTAACAATAACAATACAATTGATAGCACAATATAGACGGGTAGCATAGACGAATCAACGGTATTTTGACGGTCCGCCCAGTAGTGGATTTACGAGAGGGAGGGGGGGTTATGGCAAAATACTTTAAAAATATTGGAAATTTTAGAATTTTTTCTTTTCTTTTTAATTTATTTTGTAGTTGCAAAATAATACGCGATTTTCAATTGAAAATCGTCAAAACATACTGAACTGAACTTATTACATCGGAGACGTTTTTCGTTTGCGCTAAAGGTACGCCATAATATGTATAGATAGTATATCTTATACCTACATTCCCAACTTCCGAAGTTCGAAGTCAATTTTTAATGAGAAATTGAAGTAAATTTTTACCGCGTTTCATTACTATAATTGTTTATAATACTTGCCTTAAGATTAAGTATAGCATCCCATTCCCTTTTTACCAGTCCACACCCAAGTCCCGTGCACTCTGTATAGAGGTTGCGTTCCACCGGCGATTGTCAAAACTTTATATAATATCGCAAAATATCATTCCTTCGTATAATCAACAGTAATATTACAAAACCGTTGTACAGATACGAGTAATTTCGCCCTTAATTCAAGACCACTCACATCGCACGCATCGACGTTTTGCTAGTTACAAAATTTTCCCCCACTTGTATTACAATAATGTATGCCACACAATCAAATGATTGATTTATGTAAAAAACGTATGTTGTACATAATATATTTTTTTTATTCACCACACTCAGAACTTAAAACACCACTGAAATACTAGTTATTTAATTATTTCAATTACGGCGCGTTACAACTATGTATTTACGAATTAAGACGTTTAATTTGTATTTAGGTCACTGTCCATTATAATACGAGTAAGGCAGATTGCACACCGATGTAGTGTGGTGGTGGTGCGGCGAGAAAATGGAGCAGCGAAAAATGCAGTTTTTATATATTCGTTTGCCAAATAGAAAAATCATCAACACGGGTTTACGAAAAAGACAAGTTTTTCAATGTTTTATGGCATATTATATAATATATTTCAGAATACACGGTCACTAACCACCGCCATCTTAAAATCAAAAAACGATCGTCACACGCCTCTATATAGGTTACGGGTCGGGTTAATCAGCTACCTACCTACTAAAAATGCGAATCCGCAGTTGCGTATAATAGACGCGAACTAGAATGATGTTAATGTATCTGAAGTATTCTACATTATGGATGTGTAACGTAGAACATAAATAACTATGAAAAAGAAATGTTGGAAGCGATAGAGACGTAGATTCAGAGAACAACAATGAGGACAAAGTGGACAGGAAGGAAAAGAAACGACACCGTCTTGCAGGAAATGGGCGAGGAAAAAAACATTTTTACTACTATTATGAAAAAGAAAGTAAAGCTTATCGGACAAGAAACAACGATTTTATTACTAATATCTTGGATGGGAAGATTATGGGAAAACGTTCAAAAGGAAAATTCAGACAATCATCATGTACTTCAAGACACCAAACACCGAATGGGCTTTACTTCATACCAACACCTGAAGAATTCGGTGTGTGATAGAGAAATTTGGTTACAACGACAACACTCTGCCTTTAGAAACTGATTATGATGAAGATGATAAGAACGATGTCATAAATACCGTCAAATCCTACGGCCATGAAGCAATCTAATACTGAATCGTATCCCGGCCGATATATAACAAAAACCGTACGAATAACGCACAATAGTGAATTACACAAATATTATTACTGCTTTTATCGTCGTTAAACCCTAAGCGAAATCACAATAGGCGATAAGGGGAAAACAGTATTGTCAGTATAATATTGATTATACTATTATTATTATGATAACGTCAATACGATAAAAATAATATAATAATATATAGTGTTGTTTGATCCAGTCGTTAAAAAAAAAAAAATTAATAATAATACTAATTACAAAATGTAAAACTACGGTAAATATAATGCATATATTTTAGATTCCGAGCGTAGCCAGAGAACTATTGATTTTACAATATTGTTTATTTCTTTTTTTTTTGTTCTAGTCTGTAGACACGTTTTCTCCTAGTAAGCTTTACGTGAATCAACTTTTCTGAAAACTCAAGTTATCTAAAAGGTACTTAAAAAGAGCTCATTTTTTGATTTTCGAGCCATTTTTTTAAATAAAAGCACTTAAGTGGGAAAAAACGTAGGGAAACGTACAATTTCACGATTTCATTATTTTGTAAAAACACGGACGATGTTTTCTACCAAAAAAAAAATGATTCAATCGAAAAATTACAAGGGGTCGTTGTAAATTGTAAATCTACCATTTTCAATGCTATTTCTGTCGTATGACATTGTCATAAATAAATATTTACAACGCATGACATTTGTATTTTTCTAATTCAAAAATACTGAAACACGTAAAAATTATCATTAAATGAACGGAATGATGGAACGATAGTCGTTTCCAGTGGATTATCAGTAACTAAGGACAGTAAATGCATACAGTTTTCAAATGTTTGCTGATTCCGGCAACCCGGTCACCGAATAAAAAGCATTTAACTATCAAACAATTTATTAAATAGTGAACAATGTCGCCGAAGCAGTTTGTTCACTTAAACTAGTAACCAGCTACAGGTCACTCAAAATTGCATCGCCAAAACACACCTATATATTATTGGCACGTTAACATAATATTAATATAACGCGACAAAATATAATGACATGTACAGAATACAACCGCCGCTGCCGACGATAATATTATGCACGTTACCGCCGGATACGACACACGACACGGGGACGATTTTATTATTATTATTATTATTATTATTATTTTTTTTTTTTTTTGTTCACGATATCGCGCACGCACACTCGGCTGTCGTGTTTCGCCTCGACCTGGCTTCGGGACCAACGTATTATTATTAACACAGTGATAATTATTATTATTATTATTATTATTACAATAGAATATACGCGGTAAATTACGGGCTTCGTGATGATCCGTGACGTGCGAACTGCGGAAACTGCGCGGAAAATTCAGACGAACAAATGAATATTATATACAGGCATGGGCGCACGCGGGAAAATTTTTCAGAAAGGAACGTAATAAAATCAAACACAGAAAAGTACGAAAATTGTGTTAACTAATTATTAAAATCATTGAAATGTTGAAGTCCGGGGGAGAGAGCAGATGCCCCTATGGCATCTGTCATTACGGAAGATGCCGAAAAATCTCGACCCCGTCCGAGCGCCCATATATAGGTTTTCCGTTTTTCGATTTAAACGGAAGGAACAAAAAAAAAAAAACCGCTACATATTACGATCGACACTTTGTTTTTAACCATCGAGTGAATTTCGCCGCGTTAATTCGTCCAGCTGTTTGATCGAAATAAAATTAACCGCGTGTTATAGAGCCAAATAAACACTTAAAACAAATTCAAAAACGTCAAATGCGTCGAGAAAAAAATTTCACCTCGTCTAGAAAAGGCCAATATGAAAAAAAAAAAAAAACAAATTCCGAAATAACGAATCCGTTATTGCAGTAAACTTTCCCGGTTTTTTTCCCGATTGTTAAAAAAAAAAACCACGATGAACATCGAAAAATAACTACCTTAATGTATTTTTTTTTTTTAAGGCCGATACTGCACGATGAGTGTGCCATCATTTTGGGAAAGGATTTATAGAAGTTTAATTATTACATCGGTATGTATACAACGATAAACTATTGCTTAAAACAATTCTGAACAGATTTTAATATTCACTTGAACTGTGTTCTTTATTAACGGGCGGACGTTGACGAAAATTGTAAACGAAAAATGATGCATCAATTAAACGAAAAATTATATTCGATTGGATTACAAATTTTCGGTATAGGTGAAGAAAAGTTGTTTACCGACATAAAAAAAAAAAAAAAAACCATACACATTATTATTGTAAAACCGTGATGCGTTTCCGGCTGCTCGTTCGAAAAACAATAAAACCTCGCCGCGATATCTTTGCGGGATCAAAACGGCGCGTAGCAAGCGGAGCTACTAAATTGACTCCCGAATTCAGGTAATCGACGTTTTTACGAGCAGAATTGGCTCCCAAGATTTATATATTGAGTTGGCTCCCTCTGCATTTATTTAATAAATCTATTGGTTATAAAAATTGTTTCGAAATAATAATTGAATTATGTTAGAATAATTTAAAACACGATTTTTACATTTCAAAGTCTATCAACATTGTTCGGAAATAAATTCAACTACACATTAAAATAATTTTTAAAATACATTGGCCTAAACATTTGTTTGCAAGAATCGAATTAACGGTTAGATAATTCCCGGCGGTTATTTGGCACCGTGTCGTTATAAAATATTCAAATCACGTACTTTTTGCCACTTTTATATTATTATAGAACCATTTTATATTTTGAGAACTGCTAGTTCAAAATTGCATTGGGATCCGATTCGATATTCAGTTCCTTGGGGGGCAGCCAATTCAGTTTTCGATAAGGTAGTTCACCCAATATCGGAAGCCAAATCCACGGTCCCCGTTGCAGGGTGACTATAATAATATTATGATGTGTATACATATATATATATATGTGTACCGCTGTAGACGGCGAGCGAAATATCAATTGTCCGGGTAATGAGAAAAATAACGACATTGCCCGTACTGCGGGTACAGAGCGGCGGATTCATCACGATTCGCGCGTCCGACCTACTGTCCGCTAGGCGTGCGGCGGCGGCGGTGGCGGGGCGGAGTCGCCGTACGGAATAGGAAGTCGCCGGGTAATAATACGGCGGCGGCGTAGACGGTTTCCGCCGCGCATGCGCTACCGTCGAATAAGTACGGGCGCGCGGCACGCAGACACGGAGGCGACCGCCGCCGACGCCGCGTTAATTACGTTATAATGAAAACGAGAAAAAATGAAAAAAAAAAAAAAACCCGAAAATAATTACACAGGAGATGACCGCGGCGTTAATCCGCGATACGGCGACGATGATACAGCCGATAAAACCGGAACCGCGTTTCCGGGACGATTCCGCGGCGGCGCTTTTGTTGTTCGGTTTTCGCGAATCGGTACGTGTATCGTTAGTCACCATTATAATGTATTATTATTACGCATAACATTATATACCCTCGAATTACGCGCGGGTATTGTACGACAAATCGTATTGTCGTAACAGTATAATATTATTGTATATTAATATCGTATACCTATGGGATAATGTACCGCGAACCGGCGGAATAAAACAAAACGCGAACCCGTCTTGCCGGATCGTCGTCCGCGCCAGTGGCGTACCGGCACAGAGTGGCGTGACGGGCAATTATTATTATTATTATTTTTTTTATTTTTTTTTATCGAAAAACTGTCGAGAATCTGCAGGGTAAAAAGTCCGCCCGGAAATTCACGTAAATTCGTAAATTCATTACGAAAAACCGAGCTACTCGTAGTACTCGAACGTTTTAATAATGATTTAATATCCGGTATTCAGCGTTTATATTATTCTTGTTACTTTTATCTATATATTCTGTACACGAACTCCCACGATAAGACTGTATACCGCGTATAACATGCAGTTATTGATAATTTTATCGGATAAAATAAATAATAATACAAATATGTATTAGTATATAATGCATTATAATAACGATTGGTTCATTAGGTAAATTGAAATATTCAATATCGAAATCGAACCCGTTGAACTCGAACGCGCGCGAGCACGCACACGCACATACTCGCGTTGTTTATAACACACTCGTGATGAGATTCGTTATTATAAACAAAAATATTATCATACTCGATTGTAATTATTACGGTACAATTAAGCGTTTTTCGCGATTAAACTCGATAATATTGTTAAGCGCATATCGTGCGAAATAACAATATCTTCCCCTTCAAACCGCGAAAGGAAAGTTGTTTTTCAATTTCGAATCCCGCGTTTTCATGAAACCATAATATTATACTATTGTTATCTCCTTCGCTACACGCGGAATCCAAAAAAAAAAAAAATATACGCCAATGAAGTGGAAAAATATACGGTTTTCATTGTGGAGCCCCCTTCGTCTCGCGAACCGGGGCTGCAGCTCTCCTCCCCTCCTTAGTTCACAGTCCTAGTTTCCCATCCTGTCGACGTTCAGCCGTTGTTCGTATACTACCACCTCGACCTGTTCTCACTCGGCTTTTTTTAAAAATTGTGACACAATGATTTTATTTTTGTCCATTCTATTTCCGCTCAAAAATTACAAAAAAAAAAAAAAAAAAAAAAAAAAAAAAAATGATAATAATGGTTCTTCTGTACAATATTCGTCATCGTTATTTTAAACGTCTCCGGGACCCACATGGACTGCATATTATACGAGTTGAATCGAATATTTGAGAACTCTATTTTTTTTCGCTCGCTTATTAGTATTAGATTTACACAAATAACACCTTGTTTCCTAAGAATACATTAAACAAATTAAGCGACGGGACCCACCTTGCTATAAATACGCCCCCACACGCAACTATCTCGATCCGGGGCTTTTAAGCCCGTCGGATTATTGAAGTCGACCGAAAATTCCACAGATTCGGACTAAATACATGCAGTAATAATAGTATTGTTTAGGTGACGTTCTGTGTGTTATTGTGTGCCGGAAACGGCGGCGGCGGACCTAAACGCCGCCGCACCGAGTCACTACCCACCTGCCGCGGTCGTCGTAGCCGCGGCTGTGTGACGATGACGACGACCGCGCGCGACTAACGAGACAGAGACAGATAGAGAGAGAGAGACAGAGAGAGAGAGAGAAAAAGAGAGAGAGAGAGAGACAAACAGAGAGAAAGAGCGAGTTTATTTTATACTTTTTTTTTCCCGAATAAAATACCATCACGCACCGGAATAGTATTATGAGAGGAGGTTTATATTATATTATTATTATATATATATATATATATATATATATATATATATATAGGTGACGGTATTTTACGAAAGAAGTGTTGTGATGGCAAAGCAGAGCACAAGGCCCACAGTACACATATACACACAGAGAAGAGTTTGTGTGCGCGTGTTTTATACACGATAATAATAAAAATAAAATGTATATAATTTGTTTTTTTCTATAAACGACTCTATGTACACGTATATTATTATTGTTATTATTGTTGTACGTTCTCAATTCGGTTTACCCGCCGAAGCGTTACGGCAGTCACCCGGGACGGCGGTGGTCGTCGGCTCCACGTTATATTACGCGGCAGTACCTATATAGCCCGTACTCGCCGGCCGATCGGTGAGATGTTATAATAAATAACGAAAACTAAAGAGAAAAATATGGTAAAGTGTATACTTATTATTATAGCCGTCATGGGTTTGGGTGCGGCCTGTTTGTGTATCCGTTCAACCTATAGACAAGTACAAACGGAGGGATGCGCCGTATCACAGATCCCCTATACCTATGTACAAATTCGGGTGAGGGTGCGTTCTCCAACAACTGATAAGTAGAAAGTAAATAAATTAAAATCAGATTTACCTACCTTGAAAACTAAAAATCCCACCAACCAATCCAACAATTTATGTATTCATAAGTGCATTCAAATCATGAGACTTATAATAAGATTAAAATATTATCCAACGTGTTATCATTGTATTGTTGTCATTTTAATAACTGAATGAATTTGTTTAAATTTTCTTTTACACCAGTTCATGGTAGAAATAATTATTTAAATTATCCTGCATTATGTGGTTAGTTATTTCATGTCAAAAAGAGTCTGTACATCATACAAATAAAAATAAAAAAAATTTATCGAGTTTATCGAAATCTCGCTCAGAATCGTTTTTCGTCAACGAGTATTCGTGACTATTATACTGCTGCAGTCGTTAGCGAACAGCAAGTATCGCGGTGGGTGGTCACCGGGACGAGAAACAGAAAAACGTCGTCACAACACTAAAAACCAAACGATAACGGTTCAACTCTGCGGGAAATATTCGGGTCCGAAGATATTTTCTATACCGACTTTGTACAACCGCAATTTAAAAACGAAAACAAACAAGCAAAAACGGTCGAGCGCTCTAGGACAGTCGGATATTCGCCCGACTCTGTAAAAATAAAACCGTATATACGATTGAGTAATTATTGGCCATCTACGACCGCGAGCTCGCGTCGGAAACGGTCCTCGATCTGTACAATGCAAATCCTCGTCGGGCAGGTTACGGGATGGAGAATAGACGGACGAAGCAAGAAAACCGTCGACCGGCGGCGAACGGGGAACGTTTTCTATATAAAGGCGGTGTTCCGAAACGGTTACCGCGGCGGAACGGTCGTGCGCGTCCCGGGAGAGAGTAGTGCCGGTACTATTTGTTATTATTTTGGTATCGTTCGTAATAGGTACGCGCGCTGTCCGTGCGGGCGTGCGTACGAGTCGGCGGTACGTATTTGTTTTTTTTTTTCACTTTTACGATAACGGCCGCGGGACGGGCCGCCGGCCGAGGGGTGTTATGGGTGGTCGGTTCATTAATGTGTTTGTACGCACACAAACGCGCAAACAAACATGTACAGGCGCGCCGCGGGCTCGTACGGTCGTCGCGGTCGTCGTCGTTATCGTTACGGACGCACACGGGCACACGTGTACGCACACACGACCGAGTAACGACGGGTGTGCACTGCAAGGAAAGACAGGAGAGTCGTCGTCGTCGTCGCGCACGGAAAAAGGAACGATTCTTTCGCTGTGGCGGCTGCGGTGGCCTTGACGGTTGCCGCCGCATACCACGCGCCGCCACCCCCGTCCGGCCGATCGCGGATGCAGCGACGCGGCCGCCGCCGCCGTCGCCGCCGTCACCGTCTTTCGCTCTCAATGAACCGCCACCTAACGCGGCGTGTACTACAACAGTACTATAATAATAATAATATCGCCGTAACATACATCGTCGTACTACACACACACACACACACACACACACATACACACACGATTTTACGCACCCGGAGAACCGTGTCGGCCACGCGCATTCATAAACGCGAATGCTCGAGAAACGCGATCGCCACTGCGTCTCGCGGAGGCGCACGAGTCGTTACGCAATACCCGCAACAATGACGGCGCGCGACCGGTCTGATTCATAATTACGCGCGAACGACTTTGAACCGCGGCGCTAACACCGACGACATTTTTCGATCGCGGCCGGACATAATATATACGGTTGCCCCCAGGGGCGCCGTGTACAGGGGGACTCTGGAACCGCAGTCCCCTCGGCCCACCATGGTTCACATAATATATATAAAAAAAAAAAATCAATATTTTTCATGTACCATCCTCAAAATACTAATTTTATTTTTAACGGTTGAATTGAGAAAGATAAACGTTTTTTTTTTTAGATATTGATAATAGTGAAAAAGAGTAGATTTTGGTAATCACTATTAAAATGTCATAACATACGAAACAACATGAATATATTTAAAAAAAAATAAAAAAATAAAAAAAGTAAATAGAAAAATAGAAAATAACATATGGTAAGATTTAGGTAAAACTGTATATGTGTTTATAAAATAGAGAGCCCACCATGACATTTTCAGAACCTGGGCGGCTCTGGTTGCCCCGACCGTCTTACATTCGTTCGATTCGTCCTACGTCTGACGGTGCTTAAAACTCTACGCAGAATCATCCTGCATTTCGAATATCAATATTATATTATGGTATAGACTTTAGTAATATAGTTACGGTTTAAGATCCTCGAAAAAAATTCCTTTTAATCTTTCGTTATTCTGTCTTTTGATTGTGTCGAGTTATTGTTTATATAGGTACCTAATCGGATTTCCTATGCGTCGTGTAACAAATCAAATATGGGAAATAAAACAAAAAAATCAAATTTCACGAATGGAAAAATATCCGGATTGTTTTTTTCTTTTATAAATTCGAAGAAAGATAGTCAAAATTAATTTATGAGCGGCACAAAAAATAAAAAAACAAACACGCTGTTGTTTGTTATTTGTGCACCTGTAATAACAACCGGTCGGCTGTATACACTAAAACAACGAAATAATTTGTGATGAAATCTGTAGTCAGTAAATTTACAAAAAAAAAACAACTAGATTTCTTTCGATTTAGGGTTCCGGAATGATTAATTCTCCTATATAGGTGACTCAACCCTCATAAATGCCAAATTTTAATTATCTAAATTAAACGATTTGATTCACTTTAACGAAATATCGGTTATGAAAAAAAAAAAAAATAATAAAAAATTTAAATAAACGAAAATTCAAAACGATCGGTATTTTTCATTTTGATACAGGATATTAATAATGAGTTTTACCAGCGTTTCCGCGTATAATTAATTTTATTGTGGGACACGCTAAAACCTGTGGAAAGTAAATTATCCCGTTCGCTCATGCCCTCTCCCCCATAGTTCAAACAACTCGGTGTACCGGTGATAATACACCTGTCGATACGAACCGCCCGAGTCATTACCACGCACAATAAATTAATAATCTTCGTCTCTATGTACCTACCGACACCAATAACAATGATAATATTTTACTGTAATCTAAAGCCGGCTACACGTGTTTAATACTCGTCCGGATTTCCTAGAGAGCAATAATCAATGATGTAGAGACGAGTACGTACAATGTATAATAATTTATACGTAATAATCATTACGTTTACATCTAAATAAGATTTATCGATTTTATAGTATACGGCTAATAATTCTATTATGGTGACTTACGGTTAGCTATATAGTGGTAAAACGACGGAGGGGGACAAAGTTCTATCCCTCTAGAAAATGTTGTATACCTCACCAAAAAACTTTCAACTTCTATTTATTGATGGAGTGATTGTTCAAGAATTATACTGCATAAATAGACGTTTGACCTTTCCTCCCCCGCATGTCAGTGTCGACCATCCACGGTCCCGCTTTTCGTTTACGACAGCGGCGTAATTTATGTCCGAAATCCGTATTACTTTAAATACTAAAATAATATTATTTTACGAAGAATCTAGATGGCGGCGAATCGGGACTGTACCGGTACTAATACGAATTCAATGCACGTCTGTACGCAACAATTAATCATTGCTCATGAAAAGCGATTCTGAGCGAAGTTTGACTATACATGTTTCGAAAGGCCGTAATATTTACGATTTTCATCAAAAGTTTGATATTAAAGTTCTTATAAAAAAAAAAATAAATACATTATTAGTTATAACTTATTATACTAATTTTTTGATTTTTTAACCGCTAAGTACGACACGTATGAATTTTCTGTTACAATTTCAAGCATTTCTGTTCGGTCGAAGAATTTCATCCACTGAGAATATCTACTTAATAAAAATATCGTAAAAAATACGCAAATAGTCTGGCAGTAGTACTAAATAATATTAATTAATAATATTTTAAGCATTTAACCGTAGTTATACCTCATTATAACACGCTAAAAAAGAAAAAGAAAAAAAATGTTACGGATAAAAAAACGTGTACGGGGTCTAATCTCGATGATAAATTAAAACGCCGCCGGGAAACGGACGACGAGAGAGACAAAAAAAAACCAATCCCCACAATCGGGGAGGGGGGGATGAAACGTGCCGCGTTTACCACTTTACTCGTATAACAAAAATTATATTGTATGCATTATAATAACACGTTCGTCGCGTGGCGAGATTTGACGGTGACTTTTTTTTTCTTCTTTCCCTCTTCCCCGCCCCCCTTACATCGCAGCGCCTATTAAAAAATATTTGTATTTCGATCGGCCCTGAAATCCGATCGTCATATATGTATATATATATACCGTTTGTGTGACAATAATTCGAAAACACGACCGAGAAACTTTGGCGGCGGCGTATCACGCTAATATTTATAACAATATTATAATCATATCAGGTGCAATGCAAAATAATATATTACACTTACTCTGGAATTGGTCGTCAAATAAAGTCCAATCGTCGTAGTTCGAAACGAACAATTTATAGGAGTCTACATCGTCGTCGTATTGCCAATCCGGGCGTCTCCGTGATGAGCTGGGGCTGCGTCCGACTCTATATTCTTTTGGAGTACATACAATATCATACAAACTTCGTAGTTAATATCATAATAGTATTTCAATGCACTCGGTATTAAAAACAAAAACATATTTACGTACACATTATACAATTTATATACACGACGTTATACACACAAGCACATACGTAATAATAATAATAATACTGTAATATCACGTACGAATTAATAATAACGAATATCATAAATATGATATTGTATACGGTTAACAGAATTTACTAGGCGATTTCATACACTCGTCTACTGTGTCAGTCTGACGGGCAACACGGCCGACGTTTAGGTTGAAATTATTGAATTAAAACGCAAAAATGTTATTTGTTAGCAATGTTAGTTTTTGTTTCAGTGGCTTATTCAAGAGGCCAGAATTCAAGTAGAATCCTTTGACCGTTTCTAAGTGTATATTATTTATACAACTGTTGTTGTGTATTGTTTGAATCCAAATTTCTTTACACTTTTTAGTCGGACAAATTTAAAAAAAAAATGTTATTGGTATAGGTACCTATAATCGGGTCATTGTATCAAAAGATCTGAACGTGTTATAGAATATTTTCTGATTTATAAACGGAACCCAATCAGTGGCGTAACTACTTGGGGGGAGATAGGATATGGAGTAGAGACAACTCCTTAGAGCCCATTTTTTGTTTTTAAAAAATAAGTAGGTATATATTGATATTCTATTTAAAATCTTGTGGCCTAATAAAGATATCAATCTTTAAAAATAAAAATTTAATTAAAATTTCAGAGTAAACTCTTTTCGCTGATAGTATTCATGAAATTGATATGTATATAGATATGACAACCCTCTAGACTTTTTGTTGTTAACGTCTGAAGTTTATAATAGCTATCTATAGTTTAAATTTTAAAATTGACTTTATATGACATAATAGTTGTGATTCGTAAATATTGATTTAATTTTTTTTTAAAAAGACAGTCTAATATCATTAATTTTTTTTTTCAAAGTTAATACGAAAATGTTCTTATACTTGATAAAAATAAAAAAATAACGAAAAACAAACGCGAATTAAGATTCCAATATAAACGGTTAATTGAATTTGTACAGTGAATATATTATATTCAGAGCTAAAATATTGAGGTTTTTTTAATTTTTGTACACTCCTTTACTGGCGAAGACGTAGTAACTAGATTTTAGATATCATATCCTTCTCCCCTAGAACAAGTTCCAAATTACGTCATTGAAACCATCCGCTATCACTACATAATATTTAGGAAGTAAGATTAACACCAAAACAACCAAATATAAACTAATAGTGATTATACTAATTAGTATCAATATTATAATTATTATTAGATTTCAATTTATTAATTTATTAAGAATTTTCAAGCAGATTTAATTGTAAATTATTCGAAAAAATATAAATTAAAAATTAGCGTATAAGTTCTGCACGTTGTATATAATATGAAAAAATTTCCAAATTTTATATCCCTCTTTGTTTTCTAAATATAGTTGTGACTTTTTGTATACGAATTTTTTTTTTTTTTTCAGGAAAAGGCTTACGTAAACGGCCCTCGAGAGAATATTCTCGTCTTTAAATATTGTGTTATTAGCGTTCGCACTACAATATTAATTATCCAACCTAAACACCACAATGTATACGTTATAAGTAACGTATAATATTTGGCTACGTCACCCACATAGTTTAGACCGAGAGGAAACGCGGCTGCGGCGTCCTTAAAAGAGGATTGGATAATATTTAATATCATTGTCTAACGCGATCATTTTATGCGCATCAAGTAGAATGTAAACGGATTTTTTGTCGACCGATGTTCTAGCGAAGCAATAAGAATATTCTAAAACCAGATTTGAATTCAGCGTACAGTGTACGCGAGATGATCAAGCCGTTTAAAAAAAAAAAATGTTCAAATCGGATTTTCATCAAATTCTGTAACGAAATTGAAAAAAGTATGCTGATTGACCTCACGTATATCATGTTCAGTGGCGTGTGCAGAAGAGGAGGGGGAGTTTAAAGGTTTATCCTCCCATTGGCCTAAAAATACAATAAGATACGAGTAATCTAATATCAAAATGCATATATTTCAGCCAAGTTATGATGAAAAATTCAATCTATTGATTAGAAATTGGCTTTTTTTAAGCTTTTGAATTATCAATTTCCATAAAGTCGAGTCGGGTAGCAGATGATTTTACGATTTTTATTTGTTATATCCCCTCCTGTTAAAAATTCCTAGACACACCACTGGTTACCTCTTACCGTATCTAGGGGCACATTTAGAGTTGTGAACTATCCATCCCCCCAAATGACTTTTTTTATTGTTATATTTTGTCGTTAATTTATGTATGCGTAATTAAACGAATAACCATAATATCGTTGTTTCCAATCTCTTCGATTTGCATAAATTGGACGAATAAAATATGACACTGTCGGCGAAAATAAAAGTTCTCTCAAACCTTTATGGTCGAATTATAAGACGGCGGCGTTGAAATAACAATATTATTGTCCTCTTTTATTCTCGATTGCATAAAAGTTTAATTTAGACCGAGGACGGAAAACATATTTAAATATTTACCTAAAGGGATAATATAATACAATACAAACAACACGGGGCGACTTTTTTTTGTTATCGCGGTCCAGCGACTATGGAAAAATCTACGAACACGATAGTTTTTTAGTAATGAACATGTCGAATTATATCTACTTTTCATTTTCAAACCAAATTTGAATAAAGTATGGGGACAGGTTATCATCCAAAAAATAAATACGAAATCTTTGTTGAAAAAAGGACGGGGCAGGAATTTGCCATTTGAAAATCAACTAAAAAAAAATCAACATAACTAATCGTGTAATGTGTATGAATAAAATCTATTAAAACAGTCGGAAAATAAAGCTTAAAACCCACTCCGTAGAAATAATTAATTGAAAAAAAAAAACCGAAATAAAATTTACGTACAATTTTTCACGAGAAAATCGCTGAATCGTGATTTATAAGAAGAAAAAAACAAGGCAAAGTATTAAAACTAGAGGGGGAAAGAGAATCATATAGTGTGGAAACAGACGTAAGAAAGACAAATTTTACATACAAATAGTATTTGTTCGTAATAATATAGTTAATGTAATTCGTGTTTATAGCGATTATTGTTACAATGGTATAGAATACTAAACGAAAACCGAAATGAAAAAAAAATAAAAAAAAATAAATAAATTCCTGTTTACATTATTTGATATTAAATCGGCAGATAATCAAGCCCCTCCTCGCCCCCCCACGATAATCCTAATTTATATTCGTTCAATAAATAAAATTAAAAAAAAGGCAAACGTTTTCCGTCACCGATGGAATGCAATTGTATTCTATTCGATTATTGAAAAAAAATTGAAAAATATTATGATTATTCGTATCTAAACGTCTTAATACAGGAAAACTTTTTCGAAAAACGGTGAGAATCCAACGATAAAACAAGGGACAACGGTCAGTTATCTAGAAAAAACCTGAATTACTTTGCCAGTTCATATTGTATCGTAAAAATATTATACGATTATGTCGGAATTCAAACGAAAATTAACGTTTATTTAAAACCGCGTGAAATTATTTAACAATATTATCCCATTATGGGTATTATCGATGTAAAATGCATATCTGCAAATCGACGCGATTGTATTATTTTAATAAAATGTTGAAAAACGTTTAAATTGGCTACGAACTCGTCGCCGCCATAGTAATAGATATTCGGTTCATATATCGTTATTCGATAATTATATAGATAATCAAGAGACGCTAGCTAAACGACCAAATATTCAAGGGATGGGGGGGGGAGTGGTAACAAACGTAATTACTATTTATCCGCGGAAAACAATAATAAATAGTTTTGAAAAATATTCTGGTGTTTTTTTTTTGGGGGGGGGGGTGTAAACTCCTTCCTAGATACGGCCTCGCGAATATTATACGGAGTACCTACTTATAATAATACTGTGTGTTCCAAGAGAATTGTTACATATTCGTTATCGGAACGGTATAGATAATGTGATGATAATAACTGGAGGATTTTTTGAGCCCCGTGGATACATTCCCCGTGGCTGGATTCGGAGCTTTGTTTTCGTGGGGTTTATCAATAAGAATAATTAGAAAGTCGTATTTAGAACTCTATAGTGTTATAAATGATATTAAAATGAAACTTATTAGTTGTCCATACCCATGAAGTGGCTGTTAACTGGTTCGCTCTTGTTGACGGTAGCCACTGAACCTCCCCCCCACATGACCATGACTGGAAAGTAATTGGGAAGGGGGACTGTAAACTAAACATTTGCCGTGTTCTAATTTTATCGACTGAGAAAGTTATTTTCTCACAATATAATATAACACGAAATATTTTGGAAGGAGGTTGATCCCCCAAACACCCCCCCACAGGTACGGTCTTGTACCCCGTATATATTTTACAATACCCGTCTAGTAGTTTGGCTCGAGCAGAAATCTGTTCAATGGCATTGCAAATGTGATAGATGTATAATTGAGTTAATATTTGAACTTTGAAAAGATTTTCAAACAACACTTTCAAAGTTCTTGAAAGGCGAGAACACGATTATAGATAAAATGTATCAGTTATAAATTCGAATGTGTTTTTAGTAAGAAAAAAAAATCTTTTACAATATTATAATATCAAATAAACTAAATACAATTATTAATTTTGAGGGGAGGCGGTCAGTGTTTGTTTTGTAAGGGTGGAGGTCTGAACCCCTTATCTCCAAGTTTAGACTAAGGAAAGTAGATTTTGTGTTATAATTTTTAAATTAAACTTAAACTTTTTTGTTGATTAAAGCATAGGTAGGTACATTCGTGTGTATAATTATAAAAAGTAATATTTAAGTCGATTGAAATAAATTAATAAATGTTGGGTAAATATTTTTTGTCCGTTAAATATATTAGTAAGTCAATATCAAAGGACCTCCCACCCAGGAAAAAGTTCAAAAATCGCCACTGAGAGCAGTTGAGCCCTTGCCTCCGCCCGTATATACGCATCGGGTGGGCACTATCTTGCCCGGACCGGCCGTACCGGCGACGTGCGATGGGTGGGGGGGGTCCAGCAATTGAAAACAATGCAACGCCAAATCGTACCACCGGTAGCGCTAAAAGCGTTCGGTTAGCGGCGCGTAAATATATTATGTTTATATTTATTTTATCAGCTATATAGTTAACATGATAACGGGGGAAACGTTTGCGGTCCCTCCTACCCCTCTACCATTCAACACATCTAATCCGTATCTCGCGTCTACGGCCGATACGACAAAAAAAAAAGCGTTATACTGATATTAATTATTGCACGACTATACACACGCTTTTTATGTACGCTTTTTACACCATGATAATATTATATGGTACGTATGATAATATGGGCGATAGTCAGTCAATACAATGATAGTAATAATATTATTATACGATGATTCTGGTTACGTTTCCGTACCGAATCGTACCGCCTACCGGATATACTTTACACAAAAGCGTTATAATATTCATGATATATATATATATATATATATATATATACACAGAAGTACCTGTAAAAAAAATATACCGTTCGATCAGCCACATATATTATATTATTATAATATACACACGTAATAATATTCGTACGCGTCCGTATGTTCGGCGGTGCAGTGTAAAATTTATACCACAATACACACTGCGCGCACACGATAATAACGAAAAGGATGCCTATATTATAGCTGTGATAATATTATTATATTGTTGTTATTATTTTTAACAAACGATTTTTGTATCATAGACGATTAAAGATAATAATATATTGGTTACACGACGAGACCTTCGAAGCGTCTTTTAACTGATAAGAAATGTCCTACGGCACGATCTATGTATAGTAATTGTAAAATGAACTGACGCAGTGACGCAGTAAATGGTGATAGTGATAATCACGAACCAACTCTATAATATTATGAACGTCCGTTATGAACGCTAGTCGCCTTTTCTTATCAACAGTTTATCGAAGACACTTCGGGAACCAAGATCTTATTATAGCTAGTTGCGAAACCGTAATCGTGGTATCATTTACACTACGGGTGCTGATGATTTTTGATTTTTTTTTTTTTGTATTGTGCGGGAAAAGCGTTTATCATCGTAAAAATAATTACATTTTATTATTAAATATTAAATGAATTAATATTTGTAGGTTTACGATAGTATTTAATATTATACGTTATATTCGTGTTATTAAATGTATTATTTTAACGGAGTGGACGGTTTCACTCGAGGAAATCGAAACGTTAATGGGTTTTAGTCGGGTTAAGCGAAATTAGGAGACCGAGGAGTGGTATTTTTAAATTGATCTAGTCGCAGGGGCGCGAGATAATTAGAGCAATTACGTTGAATTTATACCGAATCGGTAGAAACGGGGAGGAGGAAAACGAATTAAAACGATAATCGACCGTCGAAGGTTCATCGTAAAAAATGATTCTTATACAATACACATTGTTTTCGTGATGACAAAAACCATATGTTATCTCTTAAAAAACGCAGTGAGAACTCGGGACAAGCACGCAAAACTAATAAAAAAAAAAAACGATAACTCCCAAGTTTATTTGTACGTGGGGTGGGGAGGGCGACGGTACAGAGAACTAAATATGCATATTATAACAAAATGACGGGTGATTTACCTATATAATTGCCGGACGGTATTTTTTTATTATTTTTTTTTAATCGATCTTTAACCGCCATATACCTACTTATACTCTATACACTTTTGTTATAAACTATATATTGTTTTATTTATATATATTATAATGTTCCCAGAATTCAAGTTTAACGGTAGTAATAAACGATTACCCAGTAATATAATTTATGGTGTATAATATTTTTTTTTTTTTTTAACCGCAATGTTTAATATAATTGACAATGTTTCGTCAAAAAATTAATTACTTCTTTCGTACGCTTTCTGAAATTGTCCAACTCCTTTTCTCCATTCGAGAAAAACGAAAAAAATGTATAAAATTGTATTATTTTACCGGCGATTTTGTTTTTTTCTAATCGATTTTTTACTGCGATATACCAATATATAATATACCCCGTAATATACTTATTAATTATATATTACATCTACACGCTGAATCTATATATAAGCGACTTTTAATCAACAATATTCATATCACCGCCAAACAACCCTCATAATAGTATGAGTAGTAATAGTAGTAGTAGTAGTAGTAATATTATTGTATTAATATTTTAATATTTCACCGTGTAAAAAAAAAAAAAAGTAAAAACCCAAATGTTTGTTGCACATCCTTGTGAAATCGTTACTACGTTATTGTTGTTATTAATCGAGTTCGTAAATTTCAATTTTATTTCGTAAAATAAATGTTAAAATATTGCTCGTGAAAAAATTAATAATTTTTTTTAAATTTTATTTGTTTTTTTTATCCGTTTCCTTAGCCGACGATAACAATAAAATTAACGGTAACGAAATCGTTGAATGTATAAAAAAAAAAAACAAACAAACCATATACTTACGTTTTCCGGGAACGACGGTCGCTGAAACGCAGGCCACGGTGATGAGAAAAGCGATCACCGCATTGGATGGTTCCATCATGATCATGGTTTGCGCTATCCCGAAGTGGAAAAAAAAAATAAATCAGATTTATCGAAATTGTCTATAAATTGTCTTCGGTGTGGGATCGATCCGGAGTAATGTTCAAAAGAAAAATACAGACGGCTCCGCGAAAACGCGAAGTATCCGGAAAGAAAAAGTAAATATGAAATATCAATTATTCTCGTAAATCAACGTGGGGATTGATGAGACGAAGAGAAGCGCGGAGAGTGCGACTTGCTAACAACGCAAAGATCACACAAACACTGTCGGCGGACGGGCGCGCGGTTCGCCCTTTTATAGGCCCCGGCGACCGGCACGCCGTTGTCCGGCGCCGCGACGGCGTCCGCGGCGGGGGCCACGGCGGGGGCGGAGGCGGCGGCGGCTAACCAACCAGGATCGCGGCGGCGGTTGGACGACGCATTTCCGCGCACCGCCACCAGTTCGCCGGCCGACAATCATCGTCGCCACCGCCGCCGACGAAACGGCCGGTTCAGTGCAGGGGGGGAACTGGACTCTAATATTGTAGTTGTTGTTATACTGTTGTGCTGTACACGAGTGCCGCACGAAAGCGGCGCACACACACACCACTATAATACGTTCGCACGCACTTACGCACACACACGCGCTCCCGTTCACGTCACACGTACGAAAACGCATCGCGTTGTCGTACGCATCGCGCGACGGCGCTCGCGATGGCCGCGCGATATCCAACAACGCGTAAATACGAAATTATTTCGTCTACGCGCGCGCGCGCGCTCGTTGTTCACTCGCTTGCGTGTACGCACCCGCACGCAAACGATAGAGCCGCGATTAAACGCGTCACGCGGAAACCGGAAGCCGGAAACCGCGGCGGCGGCAGCGTCGCGCGACGGTGGTCAACGCCGAGTGCGTGGACCGGACGAAAAATTCTTCATTGGAACACGTTCGGTAGGCTTCACGACAACGACCGGTGGCGGTTTTTAGCGAGATAATTTCACCTCTTATGTACCCACTCGCATCGAACCGCCGTGAATATAATCGCATTCTATACGGTATCCGTTCGACGACTTTGGGTTTTTTTAGAGGTTGTTTAGAGGTTTAGAATGTTGATACGGTTGATACAGTCCCGCGAAATTTTCGGTTTCGAAACGGTTTCGTACACGCCGGGTCGCAAGTATAATAAAATATACGCTAACGAATTTCGCGCCGCTACGGAACTCCGGAAGAAAATGCCGAATCGTTTGAAAAAGTTACTTTATGAAAGGCGAGCGGAATCGGTTACCGTTCGATAAAGACTGTTTGAAGTTAAGCCGAATTGTTTTCCGTATTATACCTACCTTCATTCAATAAATACAATACGCATTTATAAGTATAATGTATTATGTTACGAATCTTGTGCTTAAGACCTTTCGGCCACCTGACTAAACTTTTATTTAACGTTTATCATACTAGGGCGGGTATTTCACAGTTGTCAAGGTAATGAAAACAATGTTATATCGGTGTATTTCCTCAATAACGTAATAACCATCTGGATGGATATACGTATAATATATTGTGTGGGCTATTCGTACATAAACCGAACATAAAATACAGAAATGTTTCTATTGTAAAAAAATATTCTAAGTCGACAGTCTGTATGCATGTGCGAATGGGAAGGGAAACGTGTGTATCTAATTGCGAGCAATGGGAACCAATTTGACCAGTAGTGGATACGCGGTCACAAATTTAAAAGGAAATTGATTCGGATCACCCTTATTATATTCCAAGTTTTCAAACGGAAACCGATTCGGATACTCCCTAATTAGACGGGTGATCGGCGTGGACATTTGTCAGGAAGTAATTTCAATAACCGGCACTGCTGTGCCCGATGCTATTTTCCACGGTGAAATTGCATTTCCTACGGATTGTAAATAAATTTCAATTTTCATCGAATCGCTGCGTTTTTAAAAAGATCCCGTTTATTTCGACTCGAGTAGGCCGACTGGCGAATAATCGCCTGTCTTCGATCGCAATCTTCAAGATCGTCGGGCCAGGAACGCGCTGCAGATTTTATGCGGGCTTAAAAGGCAGAATCGCAAGCCAAAGCATTTCCTATGTATTATAAATACAGTAATATTACAAAAATACCGCGCGGACTGATCGCCGACTAAAATTTAACATTAGTTTATTATGTTGCAAACGAGTGTATTTCCCTGTTAACTAAAAAATAATAAAATCGTATATTATAACATTAAAATAAAGAGTACACATATAAAACGAGTCCAAAGATAGTGCGTTGAGCAAAAGTCTGTCGGCGGAACCGGTGACCCGTTTGGCCTTTTTTCTCTCTCTCTTTTTTTACAAAATACTTATAATATAATTATATGTAAAATATGCCCTCCTGCGTAACATTATAATTAATTCAAGTGGCTTCTATTAAACGCTGGATGACATTGAAATCTTATATTTTTATTGTAATCGTTATTCGTACTTTTGCGGAACGCTTCGATAAAACCGTTTCCGACAGACATCTATAATAAAATATGATCACGCGAACGTAAAAAACCGAGCACCGACAACAAACTGCAGCAGCTGTTCGAATATCATTGCAACAATCATATCACGGGATTTAATTCAAATAAAAAAAAAAGCGAACAAAACATTATCTTCACGTATCGACACGGTGAAAATCATACTGAAATTCCGCCAAAATCCAATCACTTCAATTCGCTAATAAAACGTATAAAATTATAACTATTGGTTTTTATCGAAATTAGGCCAGATAGAACCGCTAAAAGCGTCCAAAAGTATCTGACAGAAATGTACAAGACATTACAAACATAATACTTTAGTGGAACGGTCGACATTTTTGGGGAAAATTTGACAAAAGTCGTTTAACGTCACCAAAAAAACGAGGCAGTGTGGGTGAAAAAACACACCGAAATATGCAGAAAAACGGTATATGTTTAAAATATAAAGGTCAAATCGTAGGTCTCTACGAAAATTTTCAACCGGGTTACGTCAAAAACACAATCGAAAATAACGGAAATCATTCATTTTACGTTTCCCCCGCAGTTTTTCTCGATAAAAACAAGAAAAACGCCGAGGAAATTAAAAAGTGACCGACCCTCTGAACTTTTTTTTTTTGACACACTACTTAATTTTAAAGATATTGATTTTAAAGTTTGGCACTTAACTCGAAAAAGGGTTGCCATCCCTGTGGACTATTACAACATTGTTAATATTATTCCTGTTTTTCTTATTAAAAATCCGACTTACACGCAAATACGTTTGGTTGTATCATTCGCCGCCTGAATTCCGGTCAAGCACATATTTAATAAATTATTAATTTTTTTTTACAAAATTTACAACACGGACCAAAATCGACATCATCGTAATGCGTCGTGAATTTTCGCAAGTTCGATTTTCAGGCGTTACGGTTGACTTTATCATCGACAAAAGTTTTGCCGATTTCGCGCGGTGACGACGTTTGAATGGGTATTAATCATATATAATACCCGTATATTTGTCAGCTCTTATTGGTTTTCAACAATTTCGTTTGAATTAACTATTCGGGTACGTAATTTCTCCCCGCCTCTCCTTCTTCCTCTCTGATTATGTTCGTGGAACTGCACTTCTGATTGTTTTACACTCGGAGCATAGCGAGTAGCGAGGGATCTATCGGTTTTAGGTATTATGGTGTGAGTGCATTTTTTTTCTGTCTATGAACGACTTTTCCACCAGAAAGCTAGCTCCGATGTATAGCCTGTAGGACCTTTCCAGAAATGTAATTTTCTCTATTTGCTGCGTTGACCGGGTCATTATATGATTTTCAAAAGAATTTTCAAAATAATTAGCAAATTCAAAAAAAAATTATTGGTAAACCGGTAAATTATGTACGGCACACCGCTGCATTAACATTTCATTGTTTTGAAAAAAAATTCAGAAAAAAACGTAAAATAACTACTGAAAAATTAACGATGTTACGATTTCATTATTTTAAATTTGTGTGGCTAATGATTCTACCATAAAAATGCTTCCAAAAATAAAAACATCAAGAGAACTTAATTGACAAATTTTGAATCTTGTTGGTGAGCAAGAAAATGCATTATTGATTTTCTTTGTAGTTTTTTTAAAATTGAGCAAACCGAAAAAAAAATGGAAAAAGTACGGGAAAATGAACAAAAATACCGGTAGGTACTGTGAGAATAAAATTGCTAGACTAATTAGAAATGCCAACAATTTAACAAAAATAAATAAATAAATATCAAATTTTAACGAAAATCGTTTGAGTTAAGATGTATGTGGAACAAATCTAGCTCAAAGCTTGCAAATTTTTTAACTTTTTTTTGGTGTGATCATATGTATACCTATTGCCTATTGATTGATCTGAAGTCAGAATTAAGCGGACTACCTAGGTTTCGAAGTCATAGCTTTTTGAAGTTCTGAAGTATCAGAACTTAAATATTATATGTGTTAGGCTAAATAACCTAATGTCGGTAATTTAACATCATGTATGTCGTAGTCTAATGGTGGTATGTACCTTATGTCTTTTTGGGGGTCTCAAGTTCAAAACAAGTTCCATAAGTTTATTTTTCTCAAAATCATGTCAGGTAGGTAACACGAAAAATACAAATTACTTTTGTCTCAAAAAATTAAATTGAGTGTAATGTCGTATTTTTTTTTTTTTTATAGTTTTCAGATCGACAAAAATCGTAAATATGACGGCCTTTCAAAACATGTATAACCGTATGTAACATGTATAACTCCAAATCGTTTTTCGTTATCAATGGTTTATTCTTGATCACAGGTATAAATTAAATCATTTTATGTACCCAACATACCCCACTACCCAACTACAACAATGATTGCACCCGTCACGAGTATCAGTTCTTTCTTTTTAATTTTCTTAACAAAGAATTGTAAAAAAAAAAAAATGTCGGGTCATTTGAAACTGTTGAACATTAAACGTATCGATACGTAGATAAAGCGTGTGTATTATTTTTTTCTCACGTTGAAATCGTTGTTTTCTCGGTAACAAGACATTC